AGGTGTGTGTGTATGTGTAGGTGTGTAGGTGTGTAGGTGTGTGTGTGTAGGTGTGTGTGTGTGTAGGTGTGTGTGTGTGTAGGTGTGTGTGTGTGTAGGTGTGTGTAGGTGTGTGTAGGGGTGTGTGTGTGTAGGTGTGTGTGTGTAGGTGTGTGTGTGTAGGTGTAGTGTGTGTAGGTGTGTGTGTAGGTGTGTGTGTGTGTGTAGGTGTGTGTGTGTAGGTGTGTGTGTGTAGGTGTGTGTGTGTAGGTGTGTGTAGGTGTGTGTGTGTGTAGGTGTGTGTAGGTGTAGTGTGTAGGTGTGTGTGTGTGTGTAGGTGTGTGTGTGTAGGTGTGTGTAGGTGTGTGTGTGTAGGTGTGTGTGTGTAGGTGTGTGTGTGTAGGTGTGTGTGTGTGTTTGTGTAGGTGTGTGTAGGTGTAGTGTGTAGGTGTGTGTGTGTAGGTGTGTGTGTGTAGGTGTGTGTAGGTATGTGTGTGTAGGTGTGTGTGTGTAGGTGTGTGTGTGTGTGTGTGTGTAGGTGTGTGTAGGTGTGTGTATGTGTAGGTGTGTGTGTGTAGGTGTAGTGTGTGTATGTAGGTGTGTGTGTGTAGGTGTGTGTAGGTGTGTGTAGGTGTGTGTGTAGGTGTGTGTGTGTGTGTATGTGTAGGTGTGTGTGTGTAGGTGTGTGTAGGTGTGTGTAGGTGTGTGTGTAGGTGTGTGTGTGTGTGTATGTGTAGGTGTGTGTGTGTGTGCTACTCACACGTGCGAGTAGAGGCTGCAGGCGCATCAGGGCGATGACCGTGGCCTCGATGAGAACCAGGCTGTTGTAGCTGTCAGGCCCCTTCAGTGAACTCTCTAGACCCTGCACACACACACAGTCACAGTCACCCACGCACAAACACACACAGTCACACAAGCACACACACACACGCACACACACACGGTGACACACGCACAGACACACGGTGACACGCGCACACACACACACGGTGACACACGCACACACACACACATACAAAGACAAAGATCCCCCGTATAGCCTTAGCAGACTGTAGGGGCAAGTGCTGTTAGCGAGCACCTATGAAGGCCGGAACGGTACACGAGGGGGTGGGTGGCCAGCACCACGCCCGACCGCCTTTGTCTCCCTAGTGACGATGTTTACACACCGCACCAGGTACTCATTTGAGGCTGAGTCGACCTAGGGGAGGCCCGGGACCGGTTCAGATAATCGTCACTGGTGTTGGCCGTGAGCGGGAATCGAACCCGGGTCGCCAGGTTCATAGCGCAGCGTAGCGCTAACCACTACACACACACACAGACAGACACACACAGACACACACACAGTGACACACACACACAGACACGTACAAACACACACACACAGACACGTACACACACACACACGTGTATATCCACAAGCACGTACACACACACACGCACGCACACACACACACACGTATACATGTGTGTCTTTCCCCGTTTGTGTATGCGTCTCCCCGTGTGTGTATCACCGTGTGTGTGTGTGTGCGTGCGTGACCGTGTGTGTGTGTGTGTGTGTCACCGCGTGTGTGTGTCACCGTGTGTGTGTGTCACCGTGTGTGTGTGTGTCACCGTGTGTGTGTGTGTCACTGTGTGTGTGTGTGTCACCGTGTGTGTGTGTCACCGTGTGTGTGTGCGTGTCACCGTGTGTGTGTGCGTGTCACCGTGTGTGTGTGCGTGTCACCGTGTGTGTGTGTGTGTGTCACCGCGTGTGTGTGCGGCACCGTGTGTGTGTGTCACCGTGTGTGTGTGCGTGTCACCGTGTGTGTGTGTCACCGTGTGTGTGTGCGTGTCACCGTGTGTGTGTGTGTGTCACTGTGTGTGTGTGTGTGTGTGTCACTGTGTGTGTGTGTGTGTGTCACCGTGTGTGTGTGTGTGTCACTGTGTGTGTGTGTGTGTGTCACTGTGTGTGTGTGTGTGTGTCACCGTGTGTGTGTGTGTGTGTCACTGTGTGTGTGTGTGTGTCACCGCGTGTGTGTGCGGCACCGTGTGTGTGTGTCACCGTGTGTGTGTGCGTGTCACCGTGTGTGTGTGTGTCACCGTGTGTGTGTGTGTCACCGTGTGTGTGTGTGTGTGTCACTGTGTGTGTGTGTGTGTGTCACCGTGTGTGTGTGTGTGTGTCACTGTGTGTGTGCGTGTCACCGTGTGTGTGTGTGTCACCGTGTGTGTGTGTGTCACCGTGTGTGTGTGTGTGTGTCACTGTGTGTGTGTGTGTGTGTCACCGTGTGTGTGTGTGTGTGTCACTGTGTGTGTGTGTGTCACCGTGTGTGTGTGTGTCACCGTGTGTGTGTGTGTCACCGTGTGTGTGTGTGTGTGTGTCACTTGTGTGTGTGTGTGTGCCACCGTGTGTGCGTGCATGTGTGTGTGTATGTCACTGTGTGTGTGTGTCACTGTGTGTGTGTGTCACTGTGTGTGTGTGTGTGTGTCACTGTGTGTGTGTGTCACTGTGTGTGTGTGTCACTGTGTGTGTGTGTCACTGTGTGTGTGTGTGTGTGTCACTGTGTGTGTGTGTGTCACTGTGTGCGTGTGTGTGTGTCACTGTGTGTGTGTGTGTGTGTCACTGTGTGTGTGTGTGTGTCACTGTGTGTGTGTGTGTGTCACTGTGTGTGTGTGCGTGTGTCACTGTGTGTGTGTGCGTGTGTCACTGTGTGTGTGTGTGTGTGTCACTGTGTGTGTGTGCGTGCCACCGTGTGTGTGTGTGTGTGTGTCACCGTGTGTGTGTGTCACTGTGTGTGTGTGTGTGTCACCGTGTGTGTGTGTGTGTGTGTCACTGTGTGTGTGTGTGTGTGTGTCACCGTGTGTGTGTGTGTGTGTCACCGTGTGTGTGTGTGCGTGTGTCACTGTGTGTGTGTGTGTGTCACCGTGTGTGTGTGTGTGTCACTGTGTGTGTGTGTGTGTCACCGTGTGTGTGTGTGTGTGTGTCACTGTGTGTGTGTGTGTGTGTCACCGTGTGTGTGTGTGTCACCGTGTGTGTGTGTGTGTCACCGTGTGTGTGTGTGTGTGTCACCGTGTGTGTGTGTGTGTGTCACCGTGTGTGTGTGTGTGTCACTGTGTGTGTGTGTGTCACCGTGTGTGTGTGTGTGTGTGTGTCACCGTGTGTGTGTGTCACTGTGTGTGTGTGTGTCACCGTGTGTGTGTGTGTGTGTCACCGTGTGTGTGTGTGTGTGTCACTGTGTGTGTGTGTGTCACCGTGTGTGTGTGTGTGTGTGTCACCGTGTGTGTGTGTGTGTGTCACCGTGTGTGTGTGTGTGTCACCGTGTGTGTGTGTGTGTGTGTCACCGTGTGTGTGTGTGTGTGTCAACGTGTGTGTGTGTGTCACCGTGTGTGTGTGTGTCACTGTGTGTGTGTGTGTGTCACTGTGTGTGTGTGTGTGTGTCACCGTGTGTGTGTGTGTGTGTCACCGTGTGTGTGTGTGTCACTGTGTGTGTGTCACCGTGTGTGTGTGTGTGTCACTGTGTGTGTGTGTCACCGTGTGTGTGTGTGTGTCACTGTGTGTGTGTGTCACTGTGTGTGTGTGTCACCGTGTGTGTGTGTGTGTCACTGTGTGTGTGTGTCACCGTGTGTGTGTGTGTCACTGTGTGTGTGTCACCGTGTGTGTGTGTGTGTCACTGTGTGTGTGTGTCACCGTGTGTGTGTGTGTGTCACTGTGTGTGTGTGTCACTGTGTATGTGTGTCACCGTGTGTGTGTGTGTGTCACTGTGTGTGTGTGTGCGTGTGTGCACCTTGCTCTGAATGTGCAGGATCTGGCGGATGTGAGTGCTGGTCGCTCGCTTGCTGATGCAGCCAAACACCACGAGGGCACGCGGCTGTAGGGACGGGTTGTACTGGAACGCAAACCTACACACGGTGACACACACACACACACAGGGTGACACACACACACACAGTGACACACACACAGTGACACACACACAGTGACACACACACACACAGTGACACACACACAGTGACACACACACACACAGTGACACACACACACACACAGTGACACACACACAGGGTGACACACACACAGTGACACACACACACAGTGACACACACACACGGTGACACACACACAGTGACACACACACAGGGTGACACACACACACAGTGACACACACACACACGGTGACACACACAGACACGGTGACACACACACAGTGACACACACACAGTGACACACACACACAGTGACACACACACACAGTGACACACACACACACACGGTGACACACACACAGTGACACACACACACACGGTGACACACACACAGACACGGTGACACACACACAGTGACACACACACACAGTGACACACACACACAGTGACACACACACACACACGGTGACACACACACACACAGTGACACACACACACAGTGACACACACACACGGTGACACACACACACAGTGACACACACACACGGTGACACACACACACACGGTGACACACACACACAGTGACACACACACACACAGGGTGACACACACACACAGTGACACACACACACACACGGTGACACACACACACAGTGACACACACACACACACACGGTGACACACACACACGGTGACACACACACAGTGACACACACACACGGTGACACACACACACGGTGACACACACACACACGGTGACACACACAGTGACACACACACACAGATGGTGACACACACACAGTGACACACACACACGGTGACACACACACACACACAGTGACACACACACACAGTGACACACACACGGTGACACACACGGTGACACACACAGTGACACACACGGTGACACACACACACAGTGACACACAGTGACACACACACGGTGACACACACGGTGACACACACGCTGACACACACACACAGTGACACACAGTGACACACACACGGTGACACACACACACGGTGACACACAGTGACACACACACAGTGACACACAGTGACACACTCACAGTGACACACACACACACACAGTGACACACACACGGTGACACACCACACACGGTGATACACCACAACCATGATCACAGCCACCATCATCATGATCACCACCATCACCACAACCACGATCACCACAACCACCACCACCACAATCACCACAACCACGATCACCACCATCACCACCATCATCACCATCACCACCATCATCATCACCACCATCACCACCATCATCATCATCACCACCATCACCACCATCACCACCATCACCATCACCACCATCATTATCATCACCACCATCATCATCATCACCACCATCATCACCACCATCATCATCATCACCACCATCACCACCATCACCACCATCATCATCATCATCACCACCATCACCACCATCACCACCATCATTATCATCATCACCATCATCACCACTATCATCATCACCATCATCACCATCATCATTACCATCACCACCATCATCATCATCACCACCATCACCACTATCATTATCATCATCACCATCACCACCACCATCATCATCATCATCACCACCATCACCACCATCACCACCATCATCATCACCACCATCATCATCACCACCATCATCATCATCACCACCATCACCACCATCACCACCATCACCACCAGCACCACCACCACAACCACGATCACCACCACCACCACCGCCACCACCACCACCACCACACCACCACCACCACCACACCACCATCACCACCACCACCACCATGATGATGTCTAGGCTGGGTTCTTACTTCTGGGCGAGCTCCGTCCACTGCTCCAGCCAGCGGCAGGTCGGCTGGTCACGCATGCAGGCCTGGTGAGTGACAGTCACACAGTCACTCACACAGTCACACACAGTCACACACAGTCACATAGTCACACACACACACAGTCACGCATGCAGGCCTGGTGAGTGACACCGTCACACAGTCACTCACACAGTCACACACAGTCACACACAGTCACATAGTCACACAGTCACACACAGTCACGCATGCAGGCCTGGTGAGTGACACCGTCAGTCAGTCAGTCACAGTCACTCACAGTCACACAGTCAGTCACGCATGCAGGCCTGGTGAGTGACACCGTCAGTCACAGTCACAGTCAGTCACACAGTCAGTCACACAGTCACTCACACACACAGTCACACACAGTCACACACAGTCACACAGTCACGCATGCAGGCCTGGTGAGTGACACAGTCAGTCAGTCACACAGTCACACAGTCACTCACAGTCACACACAGTCACGCATGCAGGCCTGGTGAGTGACAGACAGTCAGTCACACAGTCAGTCACACAGTCAGTCACAGTCACTCACAGTCACACAGTCACTCACAGTCACTCACAGTCACACACAGTCACGCATGCAGGCCTGGTGAGTGACAGTCAGTCACAGTCACTCACAGTCACACAGTCACAGTCACACAGTCACTCACAGTCACTCACAGTCACACACAGTCACGCATGCAGGCCTGGTGAGTGACACCGTCAGTCACACAGTCAGTCACAGTCACACAGTCACACACAGTCACACACACAGTCACACACACACACACACACAATCACTCAGTCACACACAGTCACACACAGTCAGTCACACAGTCACACAGTCACACACAGTCACAGTGTGTGTGACACCACCAATCACCACCAATCACCACCACCGCTCACCACCACCACCACCACCCACCTCACCGGCCGCTCACCTCCATGATCTCCAGCAGAGCGTCGCTCACCGCCTCGAGCGAGGGGTGAGCCACGAGCCCTCTCGAGCTCACCACCACCACCACCACCACCGCCGCTCACCACCACCACCACCTCCCCCAACCACCTCACCGGCCGCTCACCTCCATGATCTCCAGCAGAGCGTCGGTCACCACCTCGAGCGAGGGGTGAGCCACGAGCCCTCTCGAGCTCACCACCACCACCACCGCCACTCACCACCACCACCACCACCCACCTCACCGGCCGCTCACCTCCATGATCTCCAGCAGAGCGTCGGTCACCACCTCGAGCGAGGTGAGCGAGAAGCTCTCCCGCTCGTACGAGCCCGGCGAGAAGGAACGGTCTCGGTAGCTGGCGCGGAAGGCGATGACGGCGGCCGACTTCACCTTGCTGATGCCGAACAGCAGCTTGAACTTGGGCAGGCAGAACTCGGTCACGCTGAGGCGCAGGACTTGCTTCGTCTCCTCTGTGGCGGCGGTGGAGAGACACAGAGAGACACGGTGAGACACAGGGGGACACAGGGGGACACGGGGGGACACGGTGAGACACGGTGAGACACGGAGAGACACGGGCAGGCAGAACTCGGTCACGCTGAGGCGCAGGACTTGCTTCGTCTCCTCTGTGGCAGCGGTGGTGGTGGTGGTGAGAGACACGGTGAGACACGGAGAGACACGGGGGGACACGGAGAGACACGGTGAGACACGGTGAGACACGGTGAGACATGGTGAGACAGAACTCGGTCACGCTGAGGCGCAGGACCTGCTTCGTCTCCTCTGTGGCAGCGGTGGTGGTGGTGGTGGTGAGACATGGAGAGACACGGAGTGACACGGAGAGACACGGTGAGAGACACGGAGAGACACGGAGTGACACGGAGAGACACGGAGAGACAGAACTCGGTCACGCTGAGGCGCAGGACTTGCTTCGTCTCCTCTGTGGCAGCGGTGGAGAGACACGGTGAGAGACACGGAGAGACACGGTGAGACACGGGGAGACACGGTGAGACACGGAGAGACATGGGGAGACACGGAGAGACACGGTGAGGCGCAGGACTTGCTTCGTCTCCTCTGTGGCAGCGGCGGAGAGACACGGTGAGAGACACGGAGAGACACGGAGAGACACGGAGAGACACGGGGAGACACGGTGAGACACGGAGAGACACGGAGAGACACGGAGAGACACGGAGAGACACGGTGAGACACGGAGAGACACGGTGAGACACGGGGGGACACGGAGAGACACGGGGAGACACGGGGAGGGAGACACGGAGAGACACGGAGAGACACGGTGAGACACGGAGAGACACGGTGAGACACGGTGAGACACGGGGAGACACGGGGAGACACGGGGAGGGAGACACGGAGAGACACGGAGAGACACGGAGAGACACGGTGAGACACGGTGAGACACGGTGAGACACGGAGAGACACGGGGAGACACGGAGAGACACGGGGAGACAGAACTCCGTCACGCTGAGGCGCAGGACTTGCTTCGTCTCCTCTGTGGCGGCGGTGGAGAGACACGGTGAGAGACACGGAGAGACACGGTGAGACACAGGGGGACACAGGGGGACACGGGGGGACACGGTGAGACACGGTGAGACACGGAGAGACACGGGCAGGCAGAACTCGGTCACGCTGAGGCGCAGGACTTGCTTCGTCTCCTCTGTGGCAGCGGTGGTGGTGGTGGTGGTGAGACACGGTGAGACACGGTGAGAGACACGGAGAGACACGGAGAGACACGGTGAGACACGGTGAGACACGGGGAGACACGGAGAGACACGGGGAGACACGGAGAGACACGGAGAGACACGGAGAGATACGGTGAGACACGGTGAGACACGGTGAGACACGGAGAGACACGGAGAGACACGGAGAGACACGGTGAGACACGGTGAGACACGGTGAGACACGGTGAGAGACACGGTGAGACACGGTGAGACACGGTGAGACACGGAGAGACACGGGCAGGCAGAACTCGGTCACGCTGAGGCGCAGGACTTGCTTCGTCTCCTCTGTGGCAGCGGTGGTGGTGGTGGTGAGACAAGGAGAGAGACACGGAGAGACACGGAGAGACACGGTGAGACACGGAGAGACACAGTGAGACACGGGGAGACACGGTGAGACACGGAGAGACACGGTGAGACAAGGAGAGAGACACGGAGAGACATGGAGAGACACGGAGAGAGACATGGAGAGACACGGGGGGACACGGAGAGACACGGTGAGACACGGGGAGACACGGTGAGACACGGAGAGACACGGTGAGACACGGAGAGACACGGTGAGACAGAACTCCGTCACGCTGAGGCGCAGGACTTGCTTCGTCTCCTCTGTAGCGGCGGAGAGACACGGAGAGACACGGAGAGACACGGAGAGACACGGTGAGACACGGGGAGACACGGTGAGACACGGGGAGACACGGAGAGACACGGAGAGACACGGAGAGACACGGAGAGACACGGTGAGACACGGAGAGACACGGGGAGACACGGAGAGATACGGGGGGACACGGTGAGACACGGGGAGACACGGGGAGACACGGAGAGACACGGGGAGACACGGGGAGACACGGGGAGACACGGAGAGACACGGTGAGACACGGGGAGACACGGAGAGACACGGGGGGACACGGTGAGACACGGTGAGACACGGAGAGACACGGTGAGACACGGTGAGACACGGAGAGACACGGTGAGACACGGAGAGACACGGGGGGACACGGAGAGACACGGGGAGACACGGGGAGGGAGACACGGGGAGACACGGTGAGACAGAACTCGGTCACGCTGAGGCGCAGGATTTGCTTCGTCTCCTCTGTGGCGGTGGTGGTGGTGGTGGCGGGGAGAGACACGGTGAGACACGGAGAGACACGGTGGAGGGAGAGACACGGTGAGACACGGAGAGATACGGTGAGACACGGGGGGACACGGAGAGACACGGTGAGACACGGTGAGACACGGGGAGACACGGTGAGACACGGAGAGACACGGGGGGACACGGTGAGACACGGGGAGACACGGTGAGACACGGTGAGACACGGGGAGACACGGTGAGATACGGGGGAGACACGGTGAGACACGGTGAGACACGGAGAGACACGGAGAGACACGGGGAGACACGGTGAGACACGGGGAGACACGGAGAGACACGGAGAGACACGGAGAGACACGGGGAGACACGGGGAGACACGGAGAGACGCATAGAGACGCAGAGAGACACGTAGAGACGCAGAGAGACACGGGGAGAGACGGAGAGAAGCGGGGAGACACGGGGAGACACGGGTAGACACGGGGAGACACGGGGGGAGACACGGTGAGACACGGAGAGACACGGTGAGACACGGTGAGACACGGGGAGACACGGTGAGACACGGAGAGACACGGGGAGACACGGGGAGACACGGAGAGACACGGTGAGACACGGGGAGACACGGGCAGGCAGAATTCAGTGATGCTCAGGCCCATCCACTCACCCACTCACTCACCCATTCACCAACTCACCAACACACTCACTCACCCCATCACTCACCCACCCACTCACTCACTCACCCACCCACTCACACACCCACTCACAGACTGAATCACTCATCCACTCACCCACCCACTCACACACCCACCCACACACCCACCCACTCACACACCCACTCACCCACTCACTCACCCACCCACTCACCCACCAACTCACCCCATCACTCACCCACTCACTCACTCACCCACCCACTCACACACCCCATCACTCACCCACCCACCCACTCCATCACCCACCCACTCACTCACCCACTCACTCATCCACTCACACACCCACTCACCCCATCACCCACCCACTCACTCACCCCATCACCCACCCACTCACACACCCACTCACCCAATCACTCACCCACCCACTCACCCACCAACTCACCCCATCACTCACCCACTCACTCACTCACCACCCACTCACACACCCCATCACTCACCCACCCACCCACTCCATCACCCACCCACTCACTCACCCACTCACTCATCCACTCACACACCCACTCACCCCATCACCCACCCACTCACTCACCCATCACCCACCCACTCACCCACTCACTCACCCACCCACCGACTCACCCACTCACCCACCCACCGACTCACCCACTCACCCACCCACCGACTCACCCACTCACCCACCCACCGACTCACACACCCACTCACCCACCCACCCACTCACCCACCCACTCACCCACCCACCCACTCACCCACCCACCCACTCACCCACCCACCCACTCACCCACCCACCCACTCACCACTGAAGTTGAGCTGGGAGCACGTGCACAGTGAGTGGATGATGTTGATGACAACTCACCCCACCACTCACCCCATCACTCACCCACCCACCCACTCACCCACCCACCCACTCACTCACTCACCGACTCACTCACCAACTCACTCACTCACCCCACCACTCACCCCACCACTCACTCACCCCATCACTCACTCACTCACCCACTCACTCACCCACCCACTCACCCACCCACCCACTCACCACTGAAGTTGAGCTGGGAGCACATGCACAGTGAGTGGATGATGTTGATGACAACTCACCCCACCACACACTCACCCACCCACCCACTCACCCACCCACCCACCCACTCACCCACCCACCCACTCACCCCATCACCCACCCACCCACCCACTCACCCACTCACCCACCCACCCACTCACCCACTCACCCACCCACCCACCCCCTCACCCACCCACTCACCCACCCACTCACTCACCCACTCACTCACCCACCCACTCACTCACCCACCCACTCACTCACCCACCCACCCACTCACCCACCCACTCACTCACTCACTCACCCACCCACTCACCCACTCACCCACCCACCCACTCACCCCATCACCCACCCACCCACCCACTCACCCTCTCACCCACCCACCCACTCACCCACTCACCCACCCACCCACCCCATCACCCACCCACTCACCCACCCACTCACTCACCCACTCACTCACCCACCCACTCACTCACCCACCCACCCACTCACCCACCCACTCACTCACTCACTCACCCACCCACTCACCCACCCACCCACTCACCACTGAAGTTGAGCTGGGAGCACGTGCACAGTGAGTGGATGATGATGATGACAACTCACCCCACCACTCACCCACCCACCCACTCACCGACTCACTCACCCACCCCATCACTCACCCACTCACCCACCCACTCACTCACCCACTCACCCACCCACTCACTCACCCACCCACTCACTCACTCACCCACTCACCCACCCACCCACCCACTCACCCACCCACCCACTCACTCACTCACCCACTCACCCACTAACCCACCCACCCACTCACCACTGAAGTTGAGCTGGGAGCACGTGCACAGTGAGTGGATGATGTTGATGACAACTCACCCCACCACTCACCCCACCACTCACCCACCCACCCACTCACTCACCCACTCACTCACCCACTCACCCACCCACTCACTCACCCACTCACCCACCCACTCACCCACCCACCCACCCCATCACCCACCCACTCACCACTGAAGTTGAGCTGGGAGCACGTGCACAGTGAGTGGATGATGTTGATGACAACTCACCCCACCACTCACCCCACCACCCACTCACCCACTCACTCACCCACCCACTCACCCACCCACTCACTCACCCACTCACCCACTCACCCACCCACCCACTCACCCCACCACTCACCCACCCACCCACCCACTCACCACTGAAGTTGAGCTGGGAGCACGTGCACAGGGAATGGATGATGTTGATGACAACTCACCCCACCACTCACCCAACCACTCACTCACCCACCCACTCACCCACCCACTCACCCACCCACTCACTCACCCACCCACTCACCCACCCACCCACCCACTCACCACTGAAGTTGAGCTGGGAGCACGTGCACAGTGAGTGGATGATGTTGATGACAACTCACCCCAACCACTCACCCCATCACTCACCCACCCACCCACCCCATCACCCACCCACCCACTCACCACTGAAGTTGAGCTGGGAGCACGTGCACAGTGAGTGGATGATGTTGATGACAACTCACCCCATCACTCACCCCATCACTCACCCACTCACTCATTCACCCACTCACTCACTCACCCACCCACCCACCCACTCACTCACTCACCCACTCACTCACCCACCCACCCACTCACTCACCCACTCACCCACCCCATCACCCACCCACTCACCACTGAAGTTGAGCTGGGAGCACGTGCACAGTGAGTGGATGATGTTGATGACAACTCACCCCACCACTCACCCCACCACTCACCCACCCACCCACTCACTCACCCACTCACTCACCCACTCACCCACCCACTCACTCACCCACTCACCCACCCACTCACCCACCCACCCACCCCATCACCCACCCACTCACCACTGAAGTTGAGCTGGGAGCACGTGCACAGTGAGTGGATGATGTTGATGACAACTCACCCCACCACTCACCCCACCACTCACTCACCCACTCACTCACCCACCCACTCACCCACCCACTCACTCACCCACTCACCCACTCACCCACCCACTCACCCCACCACTCACCCACCCACCCACCCACTCACCACTGAAGTTGAGCTGGGAGCACGTGCACAGGGAATGGATGATGTTGATGACAACTCACCCCACCACTCACCCAACCACTCACCCACCCACTCACTCACCCACCCACTCACCCACCCACTCACCCACCCACTCACTCACCCACCCACTCAACCACCCACCCACCCACTCACCACTGAAGTTGAGCTGGGAGCACGTGCACAGTGAGTGGATGATGTTGATGACAACTCACCCCAACCACTCACCCCATCACTCACCCACCCACCCACCCCATCACCCACCCACCCACTCACCACTGAAGTTGAGCTGGGAGCACGTGCACAGTGAGTGGATGATGTTGATGACAACTCACCCCACCACTCACCCCACCACTCACCCACCCACCCACTCACCCACCCACTCACTCACCCACCCACTCACCACTGAAGTTGAGCTGGGAGCACGTGCACAGTGAGTGGATGATGTTGATGACAACTCACCCCACCACTCACCCCACCACTCACACACCCACCCACTCACCCACCCACTCACTCACCCACCCACCCACCCACTCACTCACTCACCCACTCACTCACCCACCCACTCACCCACCCACCCACTCACCACTGAAGTTGAGCTGGGAGCACGTGCACAGTGAGTGGATGATGTTGATGACAACTCACCCCACCACTCACCCACCCACTCACTCACCCACTCACCCACCCACCCACCCCATCACCCACCCACTCACCACTGAAGTTGAGCTGGGAGCACGTGCACAGTGAGTGGATGATGTTGATGACAACTCACCCCATCACTCACCCACTCACCCCACCACCAACTCACTCACTCACCCACTCACCCCATCACTCACCCACTCACCCCATCACTCACCCACCCACTCACCCACTCACCCACTCACCACTGAAGTTGAGCTGGGAGCACGTGCACAGTGAGTGGATGATGTTGATGACAACTCACCCCATCACTCACCCACTCACCCACCCACCCACCCATCCACTCACTCACCGACTCACTCACCCACTCACCCACCCACCCACCCACCCACTCACCACTGAAGTTGAGCTGGGAGCACGTGCACAGTGAGTGGATGATGTTGATGACAACTCACCCCACCACTCACCCACTCACCCACTCACCCCATCACTCACCCCATCACTCACCCACTCACTCACCCACTCACCCACCCACTCACTCACCCACTCACCCACTCACTCACCCACCCACTCACCCACCCACCCACTCACCCACCCACTCACCACTGAAGTTGAGCTGGGAGCACGTGCACAGTGAGTGGATGATGTTGATGACGAGGCCGTGAGTGGAGGCCCTTAGGGACAGGGGCCCCGTGGCAACGAGCAACGTCACGACGTGGAAGAGGTAGGGGAGGTGGGTGGCCACGTCCAGGGAGTTGTTGAAACTCAGCATGAGCATGTACCTGTGGGGAGAGGGGGGTGGGTGGGTGGGTGGGTGAGTGGGTGGGTGGGTGAGTGAGTGGGTGGGTGGGTGGGTGAGTGAGTGGGTGGGTGGGTGGGTGAGTGGGTGGGTGGGTGGGCGGGTGAGTGGGTGAGTGAGTGGGTGAGTGAGTGGGTGGCTAGGTGAGTGGGTGAGTGAGTGGGTGAGTAAGTGGGTGGGTGGGTGAGTGAGTGAGTGGGTGGGTAGGTGGGTGGGTGAGCGAGTGGGTGGGAGAGTGAGTGGGTGGGAGAGCGGGTGGGTGAGTGAGTGGGTGGGTGAGTGAGTGGGTGGGTGAGTGAGTGGGTGAGTGGGTGAGAGAGTGGGTGGGTGAGAGAGTGGGTGAGTGAGTGAGTGGGTGGGTGAGTGGGTGGGTGGGTGGGTGGGTGGATGGGTGGGTGGGTGGGTGGGTGAGTGAGTGAGTGAGTGGGTGGGTGAGTGGGTGAGTGAGTGGGTGGGTGAGCGGGTGGGAGAGTGGGTGGGTGGGTGGGTGAGTGGGTGGGTGGGTGAGCGGGTGGGAGAGTGGGTGGGTGGGTGGATGAGTGAGTGGGTGGGTGGGTGAGTGGGTGGATGGGTGGGTGAGCGGGTGAGTGGGTGAGTGGTTGAGCGGGTGGGTGGGTGGGTGAGAGAGTGAGTGGGTGGGTGGATGAGTGAGTAGGTGAGAGGGTGGGTGGGTAGGTGAATAGGTGAGTGAGTGAGTGGGTGGGTAAGAGGGTGGGTGAGCGGGTGAGTGGGTGGGTGAGCGAGTGGGTGAGTGAGTGAGTGGGTGGGTGGGTGAGCGGGTGGGTGGGTGGGTGAGTAGATGAGAGGGTGGGTGGGTAGGTGAATAGGTGAGTGAGTGGGTGAGTGGGTGAGTGAGTGAGTGGGTGAGTGGGTGAGTGGGTGGGTGAGTGAGTGAGTGGGTGAGAGAGTGGGTGGGTGAGTGAGTGGGTGAGTCGGTGGGTGAGTGGGTGAGTGAGTGGGTGGGTGAGTGGGTGGGTGAGCGAGTGGGTGAGTGAGTGGGTGGGTGGGTGGGTGAGCGGGTGGGTGGGTGGGTGGGTGGGTGAGCGGGTGGGTGGGTGGGTGAGAGAGTGAGTGGGTGGGTGGATGAGTGAGTAGGTGAGAGGGTGGGTGGGTAGGTGAATAGGTGAGTGAGTGAGTGGGTGGGTGGGTAAGAGGGTGGGTGAGCGGGTGAGTGGGTGGGTGAGCGAGTGGGTGAGTGAGTGAGTGGGTGGGTGGGTGGGTGAGCGGGTGGGTGGGTGAGTAGGTGAGAGGGTGGGTGGGTAGGTGAATAGGTGAGTGAGTGGGTGAGTGGGTGAGTGAGTGAGTGAGTGGGTGAGTGGGTGAGTGGGTGGGTGAGTGAGTGAGTGGGTGAGAGAGTGGGTGGGTGAGTGAGTGGGTGAGTCGGTGGGTGAGTGAGTGACTGAGTGGGTGGGTGGGTGAGTGGGTGAGTGGGTGGGTGAGAGAGTGAGTGGGTGAGTGGGTGGGTGAGCGAGTGGGTGGGAGAGTGAGCGTGGTGGGAGAGTGAGCGTGGTGAGTGTGGTGAGCGTTGCGCGTGGTGAGTGTGGTGAGTGTGGTGAGCGTGGTGAGTGTGGTGAGCGTTGCGCGTGGTGAATGCTGGCACCTGGCGAGAATTGCGATGTCATCCCACATGAGGTGCTGCTCCAGCGTAGCAGTCGGTGAGAGGCAAGTCTTGTCTATGATACGGCACATCCTGCCTATCACCTGGTGAGAGAGGAGTGGGTGAGTGGGAAAGTGAGTGGGTGAGTGGATGGGTGAGTGGATGGGTGAGTGGGTGGGTGAGTGGGTGAGTGAGTGGGTGGGTGAGTGGGTGGGTGAGTGGGTGGGTGAGTGGGTGGGTGAGTGGGTGGATGAGTGGGTGACTGAGTGAGTGAGTGGGTGAGTGGGTGAGTGAGTGAGTGGGTGGGTGAGTGGGTGACTGAGTGAGTGAGTGAGTGGGTGAGTGAGTGAGTGAGCAGTCGGTGAGAGGCAAGTCTTGTCTATGATACGGCACATCCTGCCTATCACCTGGGGAGAGAGAGGGGGTGAGTGGGAAAGTGAGTGGGTGAGTGGATGGGTGAGTGGATGGGTGAGTGGGTGGGTGAGTGGGTGAGTGAGTGGGTGGGTGAGTGGGTGGGTGAGTGGGTGGGTGAGTGGGTGAGTGAGTGGGTGGATGAGTGGGTGACTGAGTGAGTGAGTGGGTGAGTGGGTGAGTGAGTGAGTGGGTGGGTGAGTGGGTGACTGAGTGAGTGAGTGAGTGGGTGAGTGAGTGAGCAGTCGGTGAGATGCAAGTCTTGTCTATGATACGGCACATCCTGCCTATCACCTGGGGAGAGAGAGGGGGTGAGTGGGAAAGTGAGTGGGTGAGTGGATGGGTGAGTGGATGGGTGAGTGGGTGGGTGAGTGGGTGAGTGAGTGGGTGGGTGAGTGGGTGGGTGAGTGGGTGGGTGAGTGGGTGGGTGAGTGGGTGGATGAGTGGGTGACTGAGTGAGTGAGTGGGTGAGTGGGTGAGTGAGTGAGTGGGTGGGTGAGTGGGTGACTGAGTGAGTGAGTGAGTGGGTGAGTGAGTGAGTGAGCAGTCGGTGAGAGGCAAGTCTTGTCTATGATACGGCACATCCTGCCTATCACCTGGGGAGAGAGAGGGGGTGAGTGGGAAAGTGAGTGGGTGGGTGGGTGAGTGAGTGGGTGAGTGAGTGAGTGAGTGGGTGAGTGACTGAGTGGGTGGGTGAGTGGGTGAGTGGGTGACTGAGTGAGTGAGTGGGTGAGTGAGTGGGTGAGTGGGTGACTGAGTGAGTGAGTGAGTGGGTGAGTGAGTGAGTGAGCATTCGGTGAGAGGCAAGTCTTGTCTATGATACGGCACATCCTGCCTATCACCTGGGGAGAGAGAGGGGGTGAGTGGGAAAGTGAGTGGGTGGGTGAGTGAGTGGGTGGGTGAGTGGGTGGGTGAGTGAGTAGGTGAGTGGGTGGGTGGGTGAGTGAATGAGTGGGTGGGTGAGTGAGTGAGTAGGTGGGTGAGTGACTGAGTGGGTGAGTGAGTGGGTGAGTGGGTGAGTGAGTGAGTGAGCAGTCGGTGAGAGGCAAGTCTTGTCTATGATACGGCACATCCTGCCTATCACCTGGGGAGACAGGAGGGGGTGAGTGGGAAAGTGAGTGGGTGGGTGAGTGGGTGGGTGAGTGGGTGGGTGAGTGGGTGGGTGAGTGGGTGAGTGAGTGGGTGGGTGAGTGGGTGGGTGAGTGGGTGGGTGAGTGGGTGGGTGGGTGAGTGAGTGAGTGGGTGAGTGAGTGGGTGAGTGGGTGGGTGGGTGGGTGAGTGACTGAGTGGGTGGGTGAGTGAGTGGGTGGGTGGGTGAGTGAGTGGGTGAGTGAGTGGGTGAGTGGGTGACTGAGTGAGTGGGTGAGTGAGTGGGTGAGTGGGTGACTGAGTGAGTGAGTGTGTGAGTGGGTGACTGAGTGAGTGGGTGAGTGAGTGAGTGAGCAGTCGGTGAGAGGCAAGTCTTGTCTATGATACGGCACATCCTGCCTATCACCTGGGGAGAGAGAGGGGGTGAGTGGGAAAGTGAGTGGGTGGGTGAGTGGGTGGGTGAGTGGGTGGGTGAGTGGGTGGGTGAGTGGGTGAGTGGATGGGTGAGTGGGTGAGTGAGTGGTTGAGTGAGTGGGTGAGTGAGTGGGTGGATGAGTGGGTGGGTTGAGTGGGTGGGTGAGTGGGTGGGTGGGTGAGTGAGTGAGTGAGCAGTCGGTGAGAGGCAAGTCTTGTCTATGATACGGCACATCCTGCCTATCACCTGGGGAGACAGGAGGGGGTGAGTGGGAAAGTGAGTGGGTGGGTGAGTGGGTGGGTGAGTGAGTGGGTGAGTGAGTGGGTGGGTGAGTGGGTGGATGAGTGGGTGGATGAGTAAGTGGGTGGGTTGAGTGGGTGGGTGAGTGGGTGGGTGGGTGAGTGAATGAGTGGGTGGGTGAGTGAGTGAGTAGGTGGGTGAGTGACTGAGTGGGTGGGTGAGTGGGTGAGTGGGTGACTGAGTGAGTGAGTGGGTGGGTGAGTGAGTGGGTGGGTTGAGTGGGTGGGTGAGTGGGTGGGTGAGTGGGTGGGTGAGTGGGTGGGTGAGTGGGTGAGTGGATGGGTGAGTGGGTGAGTGAGTGGATGGGTGAGTGGGTGAGTGAGTGGGTGGATGAGTGGGTGGATGAGTAAGTGGGTGGGTTGAGTGGGTGGGTGAGTGGGTGGGTGGGTGAGTGAATGAGTGGGTGGGTGAGTGAGTGAGTAGGTGGGTGAGTGACTGAGTGGGTGGGTGAGTGGGTGACTGAGTGAGTGAGTGGGTGAGTGAGTGAGTGAGTGGGTGAGTGAGTGAGTGAGTGAGCAGTCGGTGAGAGGCAAGTCTTGTCTATGATACGGCACATCCTGCCTATCACCTGGGGAGACAGGAGGGGTGAGTGAGAAAGTGAGTGGGTGGGTGAGTAAGTGGGTGAGTGGGTGAGTGAGTGGGTGGGTAGGTGGGTGAGTGAGTGGGTGGGTGAGTGAGTGGGTGAGTGGGTGAGTGAGTGAGTGAGTGAGTGGGTGAGTGGGTGAGTGAGTGAGTGAGCGGGTGAGTGGGTGAGTGAGTGAGTGAGCAGTCGGTGAGAGGCAAGTCTTGTCTATGATACGGCACATCCTGCCTATCACCTGGGGAGAGAGGGGGGGTGAGTGGGAAAGTGAGTGGGTGGGTGAGTGGGTGAGTGAGTGAGTGAGTGGGTGAGTGGGTGAGTGAGTGAGTGGGTGAGTGAGTGGATGGGTGGGTGAGTGAGTGAGTGGGTGAGTGAGTGGGTGGGTGGGTGGGTGAGTGAGTGAGTGAGTGGATGGGTGAGTGGGTGAGTGAGTGGGTGGATGAGTGGGTGGATGAGTAAGTGGGTGGGTTGAGTGGGTGGGTGAGTGGGTGAGTGGGTGGGTGGGTGAGTGAATGAGTGGGTGGGTGAGTGAGTGAGTAGGTGGGTGAGTGACTGAGTGGGTGGGTGAGTGGGTGAGTGGGTGACTGAGTGAGTGAGTGGGTGAGTGAGTGGGTGAGTGGGTGACTGAGTGAGTGAGTGGGTGGGTGGGTGAGTGAGTGAGTGAGCAGTCGGTGAGAGGCAAGTTTTGTCTATGATACGGCACATCCTGCCTATCACCTGGGGAGAGAGAGGGGGTGAGTGGGAAAGTGAGTGGGTGGGTGAGTGGGTGAGTGAGTGAGTGAGTGGGTGAGTGGGTGGGTGAGTGAGTGAGTGGGTGGGTGAGTGAGTGGGTGGGTTGAGTGGGTGGGTGAGTGGGTGGGTGAGTGGGTGGGTGAGTGGGTGGGTGAGTGGGTGAGTGGATGGGTGAGTGGGTGAGTGAGTGGATGGGTGAGTGGGTGAGTGAGTGGGTGGATGAGTGGGTGGATGAGTAAGTGGGTGGGTTGAGTGGGTGGGTGAGTGGGTGAGTGGGTGGGTGGGTGAGTGAATGAGTGGGTGGGTGAGTGAGTGAGTGGGTGACTGAGTGAGTGAGTGGGTGAGTGAGTGGGTGAGTGGGTGACTGAGTGAGTGAGTGGGTGGGTGGGTGAGTGAGTGAGTGAGCAGTCGGTGAGAGGCAAGTCTTGTCTATGATACGGCACATCCTGCCTATCACCTGGGGAGAGAGGAGGGGGTGAGTGAGTGGGTGAGTGGGTGGGTGGGTGAGTGAATGAGTGGGTGGGTGGGTGAGTGGGTGAGTGAGTGGGTGAGTGAGTGACTGAGTGAGTGACTGAGTGGATAGTTGAGTGAGTGGCTGGGTGAGTGAGTGAATGAGTGGGTGAGTGAGTGGGTGGGTGAGTGAGTGAGTGACTGAGTGGGTGAGTGGGTGACTGAGTGAGTGACTGAGTGGATAGTTGAGTGAGTGGCTGGGTGAGTGAGTGAGTGAGTGGGTGAGTGAGTGGGTGGGTGAGTGAGTGAGTGACTGAGTGGGTGAGTGGGTGACTGAGTGAGTGACTGAGTGGATAGTTGAGTGAGTGGCTGGGTGAGTGAGTGAGTGAGTGGGTGAGTGAGTGGGTGGGTGAGTGAGTGAGTGAGTGACTGAGTGGGTGAGTGGGTGACTGAGTGAGTGACTGAGTGGATAGTTGAGTGAGTGGCTGGGTGAGTGAGTGAGTGAGTGGGTGAGTGAGTGGGTGGGTGAGTGAGTGAGTGACTGAGTGGGTGAGTGGGTGACTGAGTGAGTGACTGAGTGGATAGTTGAGTGAGTGGCTGGGTGAGTGAGTGAGTGAGTGGGTGAGTGAGTGGGTGGGTGAGTGAGTGAGTGAGTGACTGAGTGGGTGAGTGGGTGACTGAGTGAGTGACTGAGTGGATAGTTGAGTGAGTGGCTGGGCGAGCGAGAGGCACATCCTGCCTATAACTCACCCACCCGCCCGCCCACTCGCCCTCCTCACCACGGTTCCTCACCGCCCGCCGGGTCCTCACCTTGCTTGACACCAGCTTGACGTTGCCGGAGGCGAGCGCCACCGCTGTATCGGCCATCACCTCGGCCTTGACGGAACCCAGACCGCCCGTGGCGCTGGTTTTGATGAAGCTGTCCAGCACCACGTCCAGCAGGTCGGTGATCTGGGGGGCGGGGAGCGGAGGAGGGTGGAGCGTGCGGTGAGGACTCACTCACTCACGGACTCACTCACTCACTCACACGCTCACCCACGCACTCACTCACCCACGGACTCACTCACACGCACACTCGCACTCACACGCACACTCGCTCACACTCACACACTCACACACTCACACACTCACACACTCACGCACACACGCACACACAAAGACAAAGATCCCCCATATAGCCTTAACAGACTGTAGGGGCAAGTGCTGTTAGCGAGCACCTATGAAGGCCGGAACGGTACACGAGGGGGTGGGTGGCCAGCACCACGCCCGACCGCCTTTGTCTCCCTAGTGGCAATGTTTACACACCGCACCAGGTACTCATTTGAGGCTGAGTCGACCTAGGGGAGGCCCGGGACCGGTTCAGATAATCGTCACTGGTGTTGGCCGTGAGCGGGAATCGAACCCGGGTCGCCAGGTTCATAGCGCAGCGTAGCGCTAACCGCTACTACACTACCGCTCCCCACTCACTCACACACTCACCCACTCACTCACTCACCCACGCACTCGCACGCACGCTCACTTACTCACACACTCACACGCACACACACTCACACACTCACACACTCACACACTCACACGCACACTCACTCACACACTCACACACTCACACACTCACACACTCACACGCACACTCACTCACACGCACACTCACTCACACACTCACACGCACACTCACACCCACACGCTCACACGCTCACTCACACGCACACTCACACGCACTCACACACACACGCTCACCCACACACTCACACGCACTCACGCACTCACTCACACGCACACACTCACATGCACACACGCTCACACTCACACGCATACTCACACACTCACTTACTCACCCTCACACACTCACACACTCACACGCACACGCTCACACGCTCACACGCACACTCACGCACTCACACACTCACGCACTCACACGCACACACACACACTCACACACACTCACACGCACACGCACACTCACTCACCCACTCACACACCCACACACTCACTCTCACCCACCCACACACTCACACACTCACCCACCCACACACTCACACATTCACCCACACACTTACACACTCACACACTCTCACACTCTCACTCACCCCACATTAACACTCACTCTCACTCACCGACACACTCACACACTCACACACTCTCACACTCACCCACACACCCACACACTCACACACACACCCACACACTCACACACTCACACACACACACAGTCACACACCCAACCACTCACCCACACACACAACCACACACACACCCACCCACTCACACACTCACACATTCACAAACCCACCCACACACCCACACACTCTCACTCACCGACACACTCACACACACCCACCCACCGACACACACACTCTCACTCACCGACACACTCACACACTCACTCACCCACCCACCCACTCACCCACTCACCCACCCACCCACTCACTCACCCACCTGCTCACCCACTCACTCACTCACTCACTCTCTCACCCACTCACCCACTCACCCACCCATCCACCCACTCACCCACTCTCCCACCCACTCACTCACCCACTCACTCTCTCACCCACTCACCCACCCACCCACCCGCTCACCCACTCACCCACCCACCAACCCACTCACCCACTCACTCACTCACTCACCCACTCACCCACTCACCCACCCACCCACTCACCCACCCACTCACCCACCCACTCACCCACTCACCCACCCACTCACCCACCCACTCACCCACCCACCCACCCACACACCCACCCACTCACCCACCCACTCACCCACCACCCCCGGTGTCAGGCTAGGTGTGCACCCACCTGCCCGAGACTGCCCCAGATCTTGGCCTGTATGGAAGGATACATCTGCTTCTCGTTGATGGTCATGGTGATGAGCTTGTCCAGGATGGCCGATACTCGCTGACGCTTCGCATCATCCGAGTGCTTGCAGAAGCGGACCAAGTTGGAGAGCCACGGGGTCATGTACTCCAGACACAGGTGCTTCAGTTCGATACCTGGACGGGGTGCGGCAAGAGAGAGAGACGCAGAGACACAGAGGCACAGGGACGCGGATACACACACACACAGAGATACAGAGACACAGGGACACGGATACACACACACACACAGAGATACAGACACACACACACATAGAGAGATAGACACAGATAGATACGCACACAGAGAGATACAGACACAGATAGATACAGACACAGATAGACACACACACACACAGATACACAGACACAGAGACACAGAGACACAGACACAGAGACACAGATACAGAGACACAGGGACACGGATACACACACACACAGACACAGACACACACACACACATAGAGAGATACACACAGATAGATACGCACACAGAGAGATACAGACACAGAGAGATACAGACACAGAGACACACACAGAGACACACAGACACAGAGACACACAGACACACAGACACAGAGACAGAGACACAGACACACAGAGACACAGGGACACAAACAGAGACACAGACAGAGATACACACACACAGAGATACAGATACAGAGACACAAACACAGAGACACAGAGACACAGAGACATAGACACAGACACACAGTGACACAGACAGACAGTGACACAGACACAGAGACACACAGACACAGAGACACACAGACACACAGACAGAGACACAGACACACAGACACACAGGGACACAAACAGAGACACAGACAGAGATACACACAGATACAGAGACACAGATACAGAGACACAAACACAGAGACACAGACACAGAGACACAGAGACGCAGATACACACACAGAGATACAGACACACACACACAGGGAGATACACACAGATAGATACACACACAGAGAGATACAGACACAGAGAGATACAGACACAGACACACACAGAGACACACAGACACAGAGACACACAGACACACAGACACACAGACAGAGACACAGACACACAGAGACACAGGGACACAAACAGAGACACAGACAGAGATACACACAGATACAGAGACACAGATACAGAGACACAAACACAGAGACAAAGACACAGAGACACAGACACACAGACACAGAGACACAGATACACACAGAGATACAGAGACACAGGGACACAGATACACACACACACACACACAGATACAGACACACACACACACACATAGAGAGATACACACAGATAGATACACACACATAGATACACACAGAGACATAGACACAGATACAGAGACACAAACACAGAGACACAGACACAGAGACACAGAGACATAGAGGCATAGACACAGACACACAGTGACACAGACACAGAGACACACACAGAGACACACAGACACACACAGACACACACAGACACAGAGACACAGACACACAGAGGCACAGGGACGCGGATACACACACACACACAGAGATACAGAGACACAGGGACACGGATACACACACACACACACAGATACAGACACACACACACGCATAGAGAGATACACACAGATAGATACGCACACAGAGAGATACAGAGACACAGATACAGAGACACAGGGACACGGACACACACACACACATACATAGAGAGATACACACAGAGAGATACAGACACAGAGACACACACACAGAGATACACAGACACAGAGACACACACAGACACACAAATACAGAGACACAGGGATACACACGCACACACACACAGAGATACAGACACACACACACACATAGAGAGATACACACAGATAGATACGCACACAGAGAGATACAGAGACACAGATACAGAGACACAGGGACACGACACACACACACACATAGAGAGATACACACAGAGAGATACAGACAAAGAGACACACACACAGAGATACACAGACACAGAGACACACAAATACAGAGACACAGGGATACACACGCACACACACACAGATACAGACACACACACACACATAACGAGATACACACAGATAGATACGAACACAGAGAGATGCAGACACACAGAGATACAGACACAGATAGACACACACACACACAGATACACAGACACAGAGACACAGAGACACAGACACACAGACACACACACAGAGACACAGGGACACAGATATACACACACACAGAGATACAGACACACACATCGAGAGATACACACAGATAGATACGCACACAGAGAGATGCAGACACAGATAGATACAGACAGAGATACAGACACAGAGATACACACAGAGACAGATACAGAGACACAGATACAGAGACACAGATACACACACAGAGATACAGACACACACACACACAGAGATACACACAGATAGATACGCACACAGAGAAATGCAGACACAGTGAGATACAGACACAGAGATACACACAGAGACACAGACACACGGATAGATACACACAGAGACACAAACACAGAGAGATACAGACACAGAGACACAGACACACACATATTGAGAGATACACACAGATAGACACACACAGAGAGACACACAGAGACATAGACACAGATACAGAGACACAGATAGATACACACAGAGACATAGACACAGATACAGAGACACAAACACGGAGACACAGATACACAGATACACACACACAGATACAGACACAGATACAGACACACAGATAGATACACACACAGATAGATACACACACAGAGATACAGAAAGAGACATAGACACAGATACAGAGACACAAACACAGAGACGCAGATACAGGGACACAGACACAGAGACACAGAGACACAGACACAGAGACACACACAGAGAAACGCACACAGAGACACACAGAGATACACACACAGATACACACACAGAGACACACACAGAGACACAGAGGTACACACACAGAGACACACAGAGGTACACACACAGAGACACACACACAGAGACACAGACACAGAGACACAGACACAGAGACACACACAGAGATACACACAGAGACACACACACAGAGACACACACACAGAGACATACACACAGAGACATACACACACACAGACACAGCGACACACACCGAGACACACACAGAGACACACACACAGAGACACACACAGAGACATACACACACAGAGACATACACACACACATATGCGTGCTACCCACCACTCCACCCATCACCACCACCACTCACTGGACTTGCTGAACCCACCCACCCACTCACCCAGCACTCCACCCACCCACCACCAACACTCCACCCACCACACCACCACCAACACTCCACCCACCACACCACCACCACCACCACACCCACACCACCACCACCACACCACACCACTCCACCACCACACCACCACCACGCCACAACCACCACCACTCACTGGACTTGCTGAGCCCACTCACCCACTCACCCACCATTCCACCCACCACCACCCACCACCACCCACCACCACCCACCACCACCCACCACACCACCGCCACCACCATCACCACACAACCACCACCACCACCACACAACCACACCACCACCACACCACCACCACCACCCACTGGACTTGCTGAACCCACCCACCCACTCACCCACCACTCCACCCACCACCACCCACCACACCGCCACCACCACCACCACCACACCACCACACCACTCACTGTACTTGCTGAACCCACCCACCACTCCACCCACCACCACCACACAACAACCACCACACAAACACCACCACCACCACCACCACCCACTGGACTTGCTGAACCCCGAGATGCACTCCTCCAGGAACTCGAGCGTGAGGTGAGGCTCGTTGAGGGCCAGCGTCTTGCTGATGGACACGATGAAGAGGGTGTTGTTGGCCGGGATGCACAAGCCAGACGTCTCCAGCAGCTGACCCTCGATCTTCAGGTTGAACGTGCAGGTGAGAGCGCAGAGCAAGTTGTAGGCCGCAGAGCTGCCAACGGGGGGCGAGACGGGCCGAGTGGGTGGGTGGGCGGGCGCGGGGTGGGCGCGGGGGAGACGCGGGGAGACACGGGGAGACGCGGGGAGACACGGGGAGACGCGGGGAGACGCGGGGAGACACTGGGAGAGACTGGGAGAGACTGGGAGAGACTGGGAGAGACTGGGAGACACTGGGAGACACTGGGAGAGACTGGGAGAGACTGGGAGACACTGGGAGAGACTGGGAGAGACTGGGAGAGACTGAGAGACACTGGGAGAGACTGGGAGACACTGGGAGAGACTGGGAGACACTGGGAGAGACTGGGAGACACTGGGAGAGACTGGGAGACACTGGGAGAGACTGGGAGACACTGGGAGAGACTGGGAGACACTGGGAGAGACTGGGAGACACTGGGAGAGACTGGGAGAGACTGAGAGACACTGGGAGACGCTGGGAGACACTGGGAGAGACTGGGAGAGACTGGGAGAGACTGGGAGAGACAGGGAGAGACTGGGAGACACTGGGAGAGACTGGGAGACATTGGGAGAGACTGGGAGAGACTGGGAGAGACTGGGAGAGACTGGGAGAGACTGGGAGAGACTGGGAGACACTGGGAGAGACTGGGAGAGACTGGGAGAGACTGGGAGACATTGGGAGAGACTGGGAGACACTGGGAGACACTGGGAGAGACTGGGAGACACTGGGAGAGACTGGGAGAGACTGGGAGAGACTGGGAGAGACTGGGAGACACTGGGAGAGACTGGGAGAGACTGGGAGAGACTGGGAGACACTGGGAGAGACTGGGAGAGACTGGGAGACATTGGGAGAGACTGGGAGACACTGGGAGAGACTGGGAGACACTGGGAGAGACTGGGAGAGACTGGGAGAGACTGGGAGAGACTGGGAGAGACTGGGAGACACTGGGAGAGACTGGGAGAGACTGGGAGAGACTGGGAGAGACTGGGAGACATTGGGAGAGACTGGGAGACACTGGGAGAGACTGGGAGACACTGGGAGAGACTGGGAGAGACTGGGAGAGACTGGGAGAGACTGGGAGAGACTGGGAGAGACTGGGAGACACTGGGAGAGACTGGGAGAGACTGGGAGAAACTGGGAGACACTGGGAGAGACTGGGAGAGACTGGGAGACACTGGGAGAGACTGGGAGAGACTGAGAGACACTGGGAGAGACAGGGAGAGACTGGGAGAGACTGGGAGACACTGGGAGAGACTGGGAGAGACTGGGAGAGACTGGGAGACACTGGGAGAGACTGGGAGAGACTGGGAGAGACTGGGAGACACTGGGAGAGACTGGGAGAGACTGGGAGACACTGGGAGAGACTGGGAGAGACTGAGAGACACTGGGAGAGACAGGGAGAGACTGGGAGAGACTGGGAGACACTGGGAGAGACTGGGAGAGACTGGGAGACAGAGAGAGACTGGGAGACACTGGGAGAGACTGGGAGAGACTGAGAGACACTGGGAGACGCTGGGAGACACTGGGAGACACTGGGAGAGACTGGGAGAGACTGGGAGACACTGGGAGAGACTGGGAGAGACTGGGAGACACCGGGAGAGACTGGGAGACGCTGGGAGACACTGGGAGACACTGGGAGAGACTGGGAGAGACTGGGAGACACTGGGAGAGACTGGGAGAGACTGGGAGAGACTGGGAGAGACTGGGAGACACTGGGAGAGACACTGGGAGAGACTGGGAGAGACTGGGAGAGACTGAGAGAGACTGGGAGATACTGGGAGAGACTGGGAGAGACTGGGAGAGACTGGGAGAGACTGGGAGACACTGGGAGAGACTGGGAGAGACTGGGAGACACTGGGAGACACAGAGAGAGACTGGGAGACACTGAGAGACACGGGTAGACACTCGGAGACACTGGGAGAGAATGGGAGAGATTGGGAGAGACTGGGAGACACTGGGAGACACAGAGAGAGACTGGGAGACACTGAGAGACACGGGTAGACACTCGGAGACACTGGGAGAGACTGGGAGAGACTGGGAGAGACTGGGAGACACTGGGAGAGACTGGGAGAGACTGGGAGACACATAGAGAGACTGAGAGAGACTGGGAGAGACTGAGAGACACCGGGAGACACTGGGAGAGACTGAGAGAGACTGGGAGACACTGGGAGAGACTGGGAGAGACTGGGAGACACTGGGAGACACTGGGAGAGACTGGGAGACACTGGGAGACACTGGGAGACGCTGGGAGACACTGGGAGACGCTGGGAGACACTGGGAGAGACTGGGAGACACTGGGAGAGACAGGGAGAGACTGGGAGAGACTGGGAGACACGGGGAGAGACAGGGATAGACTGGGAGAGACTGGGAGAGACTGAGAGACACTGGGAGAGACTGAGAGAGACTGGGAGAGACTGGGAGAGACTGGGAGACACTGGGAGAGACTGGGAGACACTGGGAGAGACTGGGAGAGACTGGGAGACACTGAGAGACTGTGAGACACTGGGAGACACTCGGAGACACTGGGAGAGACTGGGAGACACAGAGAGAGACTGGGAGACACTGAGAGACTGTGAGACACTGGGAGACACTCGGAGACACTGGGAGAGACTGGGAGACACTGGGAGAGACTGGAGGAGCCTCTCTCTGTGTCTGCGTCTCTACGTGTCTCTGCATCTCCGTGTCTCCGCGTGTCTCTGTCTCTCCGTGTGTCTGTGTCTCTTCGTGTATCTCTCTGTCTCTCTCTCCGTGTCTCTCCGCGTCTCTGTGTGTATCTGTCTCTCTCTCCATGTCTCCGTGTCTCTGTGTCTCTCCGTGTCTCTCTGTGTATCTCTGTCTCTCTCTCCGTGTCTCTGTGTCTCTCCGTGTGTCTCTCCGTGTTTCCCTGTGTCTCTCTGTGTCTCTGTGTCTCTCTGTGTCTCTCTGTCTCTCTCTGTGTCTGTGTCTCTCTGTGTCTCTCTGTGTCTCTCTGTGTGTCTCTCCGTGTGTCTCTCCGTGTGTCTCTCTGTGTCTCTCTGTGTGTCTCTCTGTGTGTCTCTCTGTGTGTCTCTCTGTGTGTCTCTCTGTGTGTCTCTCTGTGTCTCTCTGTGTCTCTCCGTGTCTCTCCGTAGTCTCTCCGTGTCTCTCCGTGTCTCTCCGTGTGTCTCTCCGTGTGTCTCTCCGTGTGTCTCTCCGTGTGTCTCTCTGTGTCTCTGTGTCTCTCCGTTTGTCTCTCCGTGTCTCTCTGCGTGTCTCACCGGAGGCTGGGGTCGGAGCTGCCCAGGTTGAGGAGAGCTATGTTGAGCAACGTGCCCGGCACGTCCTTGGGACGTATCTCGGTTGTTCGTATGTCTCTGTGTCTCTCTGTGTCTGTGTCTCTCTGTGTCTCTCTGTGTCTCTCTGTGTCGCTCTGTGTGTCTCTGTGTCTCTGTGTCTCTCTGTGTGTCTCGGTGTCTCTCTGTGTCTCTCTGTGTGTCTCGGTGTCTCTGTGTCTCTGTGTGTCTCTCTGTGTCTCTCTCTGTCTCTCTGTGTGTCTCACCGGAGGCTGGGGTCGGAGCTGCCCAGGTTGAGGAGAGCTATGTTGAGCAACATGCCCGGCACGTCCTTAGGACGTATCTCGGTTGTTCGTATGTCTCTGTGTCTCTCTGTGTCTCTCTGTGTCTCTCTGTGTCTCTCTCTGTCTCTCTGTGTCTCTGTGTCTCTCTGTGTCTCTCTGTGTCTCTCTGTGTCTCTCTGTGTCTCTCTGTGTCTCTCTGTGTCTCTCCGTGTGTCTCTCCGTGTGTCTCTCTGTGTGTCTCTCTGTGTCTCTGTGTCTCTCCGTGTCTTTCTGTGTCTCTCCGTGTGTCTCTCCGTGTCTCTCTGTGTGTCTCTGTGTCTCTCTGTGTCTCTCTGTGTCTCTGTGTGTCTCTGTGTGTCTCTGTGTCTTTCTGTGTCTCTCTGTATGTCTCTGTGTCTCTCTGTGTGTCTCACCGGAGGCTGGGGTCGGAGCTGCCCAGGTTGAGGAGAGCTATGTTGAGCAACGTGCCCGGCACGTCCTTGGGACGTATCTCGGTTGTTCGTTTGTCTCTGTGTGTGTCTCTCTGTGTCTCTCTGTGTGTCTCTGTGTGTCTCTGTGTCTCTCTGTGTGTCTCTCTGTGTCTCTCTGTGTCTCTCCGTGTCTCTCTGTGTCTTCATGTGTCTCTCTCTGTGTCTCTCTCTGTGTCTCTCTGTGTGTCTCTCAGTGTGTCTATCTGTGTCTCTCCGTGTGTCTCCGTGTGTCTCTCTGTGTCTCTCTGTGTCTCTCCGTGTGTCTCCGTGTGTCTCCGTGTGTCTCCGTGTCTCTCCGTGTGTCTCTCCGTGTGTGTCTCTCCGTGTCTCTGTGTGTCTCTGTGTGTCTCTGTGTGTCTCTCTGTGTCTCTCTGTGTCTCTCTGTGTCTCTCTGTGTCTCTCTGTGTCTCTCTGTGTCTCTCTGTGTCTCTCTGTGTCTCTCTGTGTCTCTCTGTGTCTCTCCGTGTCTCTCCGTGTCTCTCCGTGTCTCTCCGTGTCTCTCTGTGTCCCTCTGTGTGTCTCTGTGTGTCTCTGTGTCTCTCCGTATGTCTCTGTGTCTCTCTGTGTCTCTCTGTGTCTCTGTGTGTCTCTGTGTGTCTCTGTGTGTCTCTCTGTGTCTCTGTGTGTCTCTGTGTGTCTCTGTGTGTCTCTGTGTGTCTCTGTGTGTCTCTGTGTGTCTCCGTGTCTCTCTGTGTCTCTCTGTGTGTCTCTGTGTGTCTCTGTGTCTCTCTGTGTCTCTCTGTGTCTCTGTGTCTCTCTGTGTCTCTCTGTGTCTCTCTGTGTCTCTGTGTCTCTCTGTGTGTCTCTCCGTGTGTCTCTCCGTATGTCTCTGTGTCTCTCTGTGTGTCTCTGTGTCTCTCCGTGTGTCTCTCTGCGTGTCTCACCGGAGGCTGGGGTCGGAGCTGCCCAGGTTTAGGAGAGCTATGTTGAGCAACATGCCCGGCACGTCCTTGGGACGTATCTCGGTTGTTCGTATGTCTCTGTGTCTCTCTGTGTCTCTCTGTGTCTCTCTGTGTCTCTCTGTGTCTCTCTGTCTCTCTCTGTCTCTGTGTGTCTCTGTGTCTCTCTGTGTGTCTCTGTGTCTCTCTGTGTGTCTCGGTGTCTCTCTGTGTCTCTGTGTGTCTCTCTGTGTGTCTCTCTGTGTCTCTCCGTGTGTCTCTCCGTGTGTCTCTCTGTGTCTCTCTGTGTCTCTCTGTGTGTCTCACCGGAGGCTGGGGTCGGAGCTGCCCAGGTTGAGGAGAGCTATGTTGAGCAACGTGCCCGGCACGTCCTTGGGACGTATCTCGGTTGTTCGTATGTCTCTGTGTGTGTCTCTCTGTGTCTCTGTGTGTGTCTCTGTGTCTCTCTGTGTCTCTGTGTCTCTCTGTGTGTCTCACCGGAGGCTGGGGTCGGAGCTGCCCAGGTTGAGGAGAGCTATGTTGAGCAACGTGCCCGGCACGTCCTTGGGACGTATCTTGGTGTGCTGTGGAATGCAGTCCGGTTGCGATAACTCCCAGCGGGTCCGGATGTGGATGATGGACTGCACGATGGCCTCGCAGTCCGTGTGGATGAACGTCAGCGGGGTGCCCTGCTCACACGCAGAGACGCGCAGAGACACGCACAGACACACACAGAGACACGCACAGAGACACGCAGAGACACACAGAGACACACACAGAGGCACGCACACAGAGACACACAGAGACACACACAGAGGCACGCACGCAGAGACACGCAGAGAGACACACACAGACACACACAGAGACACGCAGAGACACACAGAGAGACATACAGAGACACACACAGAGACACGCAGAGACACACAGAGGGACACACAGAGAGACACACAGAGATACACACACAGAGACACACACAGAGACACACACGCAGTTATACAGAGACACGCACGGAGACACACACGGAGAGACACACACAGAGACACGCAGAGACACGCAGAGAAACACACAGAGACACACACGGAGAGACACACACAGTTATACAGAGACACACAGAGACACACACGGAGAGACACACAGAGACACACACGGAGAGACACGCAGAGAGACACACACGCAGACACACGCACAGAGACACGCACAGAGACACGCACAGACACACACACAGTTATACAGAGACACGCACGGAGACACACACGGAGAGACACGCACAGAGAGACGCAGAGAGACACACACACAGTTATACAGAGACACACACGGAGAGACACACACAGAGACACACACGGAGAGACACGCACAGAGACACACACAGACACACACACACAGTTACACAGAGACACACACAGAGACACACACACAGAGACACACGCAGAGACACGCACAGAGACACAGAGACACGCGCACAGAGACACACACGGAGAGACACGCACAGAGACACGCAGAGAGACACACACGCAGTTATACAGAGACACACACGGAGAGACACACAGAGTTACACAGAAACACACACAGATACCCAGAGACACGCACACAGTTACACAGAGACACACACAGTTACACAGAGACACACACACAGTTACACAGAGACACACACAGAGACACACACAGAGACACACAGAGGCACGCACAGAGACATGCACAGAGACACACAGAGACACACACAGAGACACACACAGTTACACAGAGACACACACACAGTTACACAGAGACACACACACAGTTACACAGAGACACACACAGATACACAGACACACACACAGTTACACAGAGACACACACAGTTACACAGAGACACGCACAGAGACACACAGAGACACACACAGTTACACAGAGACACACACAGTTACACAGAGACACGCACAGAGACACACAGAGACACACACACAGTTACACAGAGACACGCACAGAGACACACAGAGACACACACAGAGACACACACAGAGACACGCACAGAGACACGCACAGAGACACACAGAGACACACACACAGTTACACAGAGACACACACAGTTACACAGAGACACACACAGTTACACAGAGACACACACAGTTACACAGAGACACACACAGAGACACACACACAGTTACACAGAGACACACAGAGACACACAGAGACACACACACAGTTACACAGAGACACACACAGAGACACACACAGTTACACAGAGACACACACACAGTTACACAGAGACACACACACAGTTACACAGAGACACACAGACGCACCGAGACACACACAGAGACACGCACAGAGACAAGCCCACAGTTACACAGAGACACACACAGAGACATACAGAGACACACACAGAGACACACACAGAGACACGCACAGAGACACGCAGAGACACGCCCACAGTTACACAGAGACACACACACACAGTTACACAGAGACACACACACAGTTACACAGAGACACACAGAGACACACACAATTACACAGAGACACACACAGTTACACAGAGACACGCACAGAGACACACAGAGACACACACAGACACACACACAGTTACACAGAGACACACACAGTTACACAGAGACACGCACAGAGACACACAGAGACACACACAGAGACACACACAGTTACACAGAGACACACACAGTTACACAGAGACACGCACAGAGACACACAGAGACACACACACAGTTACACAGAGACACGCACAGAGACACACAGAGACACACACAGAGACACACACAGAGACACGCACAGAGACACGCAGAGACACACAGAGACACACACACAGTTACACAGAGACACACACAGTTACACAGAGACACACACAGTTACACAGAGACACACACAGAGACACACACACAGTTACACAGAGACACACAGAGACACACAGAGACACACACACAGTTACACAGAGACACACACAGAGACACACACAGTTACACAGAGACACACACACAGTTACACAGAGACACACACACAGTTACACAGAGACACACAGACACACCGAGACACACACAGAGACACGCACAGAGACAAGCCCACAGTTACACAGAGACACACACAGAGACATACAGAGACACACACAGAGACACACACAGAGACACGCACAGAGACACGCAGAGACACGCCCACAGTTACACAGAGACACACACACAGTTACACAGAGACACACACACAGTTACACAGAGACACACAGAGACACACACAGAGACACACAGAGACACACACAATTACACAGAGACACACACAGTTACACAGAGACACAAACAGTTACAGAGACACACAGAGACACACAGAGACACACAGAGACACACAGTTACACAGAGACACACACAGATACACACAGAGACACACAGAGAGATGCACGGAGAGAGAGATACGGTTACACAGAGACACACAGAGACACACACACAGTTACACAGAGACACACACAGTTACACAGAGACACACACACACAGAGACACACACAGAGACACACACACAGTTACACGGAGACACGCAGAGAGATGCATGGAGACACAGAGACACACACACAGAGACACGCACAGAGACACACGCACAGAGACACACGCACAGTTACACAGAGACACACACAGAGACACACACACAGAGACACACACAGTTACACAGAGACACACACAGTTACACATTGCAGATCTCCACCATCTCCGAGGCATGGCGAGTGGTGAGCGAGCGGTGAGCGAGCGGTGAGCGGGCTCACCTGGTTGGCGATGGTGAGCGTGAACTGGTTCTCGTCCACGAGGCAGATTTCCTCGATCTCGGACGCGTAGTGCACATCGTCCAGCAGAACGTACTGACCCAGCACGCGAGTCTTCTCCGCAGACATCACCTGCACGGCCGTAGGGCCCACCTGGACGGACACGCGGACACGCGGACACTCACTCACTCACCTACTCACTCACCTACTCACTCACTCAGTCACTCACTCACCCACTCACCTACTCACTCACTCACCTACTCACTCACTCACCTACTCACTCACCTACTCACTCACTCAGTCACTCACTCACTCACTCACCTACTCACTCACTCACCTACTCACTCACTCACCTACTCACTCACCTACTCACTCACTCACTCACCTACTCGCTCACTCACCTACTCACTCACCTACTCACTCACCTACTCACTCGCTCACCTACTCACTCACTCACCTACTCACTCACCTACTCACTCACTCACTCACCTACTCGCTCACTCACCTACTCACTCACCTACTCACTCACCTACTCACTCGCTCACCTACTCACTCACTCACCTACTCACTCACTCACTCACCCACCCACTCACTCACCTACTCACTCACCTACTCACTCACTCAACTACTCACTCACTCAGTCACTCACTCAGTCACTCAACTACTCACTCACTCAGTCACTCACCTACTCACTCACTCATCTACTCACTCACTCACCTACTCACTCACTCACCTACTCACTCACCTACTCACTCACTCACCCACTCACTCACTCAGTCACTCACTCACCTACTCACTCACCCACCCACCCACCCACTCACCCACCCACTCACCCACCCACCCACCTTGATGGACACCTTCGTGTCTTTGTGCGACAGCTTCAGGGCGCTGTGGAACACTTTGAGGTCACTCACTCACCCACCCACCCACTCACACACTCACCCACCCACTCACTCACCCACCCACTCACCCACCCACTCACCCACCCACTCACTCACTCACTCACCCACCCACCCATCCACTCACTCACCCACTCACTCACTCACCCACTCACCCACTCACTCACCCACTCACTCACCCTCCCACTCACCCACTCACTCACCCTCCCACTCACTCACCCACTCACTCACTCACCTACTCAGTCACTCAGTCACTCACTCACTCAGTCAATCACTCACTCACTCACCCACTCAGTCACTCACTCACCTACTCAGTCACTCAGTCATTCACCCCCTCACTCAGTCACTCACCCACCCACTCACCCACTCACTCACCCACCCACTCACCCACCCACCCACCTTGATGGACACCTTCGTGTCTTTGTGCGACAGCTTCAGGGCGCTGTGAAACACTTTGAGGTCCTCGTCGAGAGCGAGCGTGGCTCCGGGCAGACGCTGCTGTGACGTGTCCACGTAGTCAGCCAGACGTCCCAGGGACTCGACAAACACCAGTCGCTTGCTACCCTTGAGCCCGGTCAACAGGCGCTCGTGGTACTTGGTGTACTCACGGACCTGACGCGGGTACACACACACACGGTACACACACAGTACACACACGGTACACACACAGGGTACACACGGTACACACACAGTACACACACACACACACACGGTACACACGGTACACACACACACACACACGGTACACACACACACACGGTACACACGGTACACACACACACACGGTACACACACAGATACACACACACACAGTACACACACACGGTACACACACACACACACGGTACACACAAACACCAGCCGCTTGCTACCCTTGAGCCCGGTCAACAGGCGCTCGTGGTACTTGGTGTACTCACGGACCTGACGCGGGTACACACACACACGGTACACACACAGTACACACACGGTACACACACAGGGTACACACACACACACGGTACTCACACACACACATGGTACACACACACACGGTACTCACACACACACAAGGTACACACACACACACACGGTACACACACACGGTACACACACACGGTACACACACACACACGGTACTCACACACACACATGGTACACACACACACGGTACTCACACACACACACGGTACACACACACACACACGGTACACACACACGGTACACACACACGGTACACACACACACACGGTACTCACACACACACATGGTACACACACACACGGTACTCACACACACACACGGTACACACACACACACACGGTACACACACACGGTACACACACACACACGGTACTCACACACACACAATACACACACACACACATGGTACACACACACACGGTACACACACACACACACACACGGTACTCACACACACACACACACGGTACACACACACACACGGTACACACACATGGTACACACACACACACAGTACTCACACACACTCACACACACACACACGGTACACACACACACACGGTACACACACACACACGGTACTCACACACACACATGGTACACACACACACGGTACACACACACACACACGGTACACACACACACGGTACACACACACACGGTACACACACACACACGGTACACACACACATGGTACACACAGTACACACACAGGGTACACACACACACACACGGTACACACACGGTACACACACACACGGTACACACAAACACCAGCCGCTTGCTACCCTTGAGCCCGGTCAACAGGCGCTCGTGGTACTTGGTGTACTCACGGACCTGACGCGGGTACACACACACACACGGTACACACACACACACATGGTACACACACACGGTACACACACACACACACACGGTACACACACACACATGGTACACACACACACATGGTACACCCACACGGTACACACACACACACACGGTACACACACAGTACTCACACACACACACACATGGTACACACAAACACCAGTCGCTTGCTACCCTTGAGCCCGGTCAACAGGCGCTCGTGGTACTTGGTGTACTCACGGACCTGACACGGGTACACACACACACACACACGGTACACACACACACACAGTACACGCAGTACACACACACGGTACACACACACACGGTACACACACACACGGTACTCACACACACACGGTACACACACACACACGGTACACACACACACACGGTACACACACACACATGGTACACAAACACACAGTACACACACACACACACACGGTACACACACACACGGTACACACACACGGTACACATGGAACACACACACGACACACACACACGGTACACACACACACACACACGGTACACACACACACACGGTACACACACACACAGTACACACACACACGGTACACACACACACACGGTACACACACACAGTACACACACACACGGTACACACACACACACGGTACACACACACACGGTACACACACACACACGGTACACACACACACACGGTACACACACACGGTACACACACACGGTACACACACACACACAGTACACACACACACGGTACACACACACACGGTACACACACACACAGTACACACACACACGGTACTCACACACACTCACACGGTACACACACACAAACACGGTACACACACACGGTACACACAAACACACGGTACACACACACAAACACGGTACACACACACACACTACACACACGGTACACACACACACACACGGTACACACACAAACACGGTACACACACACGGTACACACAAACACACACACGGTACACACACACACACAAACACGGTACACACACACGGTACACACAAACACACACACGGTACACACACACACACACGGTACACACACGGTACACACACACACGGTACACACACACACACGGTACACACACACGGTACACACACAGTACACACACACACACGGTACACACACACGGTACACACACACGGTACACACACACAGTACACACACACACACGGTACTCACACACACACACACGGTACACACACACACGGTACACACACACACACGGTACACACACGGTACACACACACACACGGTACACACACAGGGTACACACACACGGTACACACACACACTACACACACGGTACACACACACACACAGTACACACACACACACGGTACACACACACACTACACACACGGTACACACACAAACACACGGTACACACACACGGTACACACACACACACGGTACACACACACACACACACGGTACACACACACGGTACACACGGTACACACACACACACACGGTACACACACACACGGTACACACACACACACGGTACACACACACACACGGTACACACACACACGGTACACACACACACACACGGTACACACACACACACGCGGAACACACACACACACGGTACACACACACGGTACACACAAACACACAGTACACACACACACGGTACACACACACACACACGGTACACACACACACACGCGGAACACACACACACGGTACACACACACACGGTACACACACACACACGCGGAACACACACACACACGGTACACTCACTCCCTGTCTCTCTCTCACTGTCTCTCTCTCTGTCTCACTCCGTCTCTCTCTCTGTCTCTCTGTCTGTCTCTCCCTCTGTCTGTCTCGCTCTCCCTGTCCGTCTCACTCCGTCTGTCTGTTTCTCTCTGTCTGTCTCTCCCTCTCTGTCTCTCTGTCTCTCTCTCTGTCTCTCTCTCTCACTGTCTCTCTCTCTCTCTCACTGTCTCTCTCTCTCACTGTCTCTCTCTCACTGTCTCTCTCTCTCACTGTCTCTCCCTCTCTCTCTCTCTCTCACTGTCTCTCTCCCTGTCTCTCCCTGTCTATCTCTCACTGTCTCTCCCTGTCTGTCTCTCCCTCTCTCTCACTGTCTCTCTCTCTCTCTCTGAGCGCGCTGGGAGGAGGCTGCGTCCAGGTGGAGCTCCCGAGCTCTCACAGTTGGAGGCCCGTCTTTTTCAACATCGCCGTACCGAGAGAGGCTTCACAGACAAATTCATATCGACCATTTCCCTCTTTCTTTCACCTTTTATTTTCCCACTCCCCTTCTGTTTTATTTTATTTCTTTTTTGCTTGGCTCGCCGGGTCCGGCGAGCGAAAGACCGCGAGCGATTTTTTTTTATTTCTTCTCCCACCTGCAATCGCACAGAGGCAGAACCGCGGGGTGACGGTGTACGAGCAAGAGCCGCGGGAGGGACGCCCTGGAGGCAGGCGATGGGGACGGGGGGTGTCGACGGTCCGTGCGTGGGGGACTTCAATTGCACCTTGGACCCAGCCCTTGACCGGAACGGCGCCGAGCCTCACCCGGAGTCGGCGCGAGCGTGGGGGGGATCGGGTGACCTGGTGCTGGCAGCTGGGGCTGCCGGACGCGTGGCGGCTGCACCGGCCGACCCAGCGGCAGTACACGCGGTGCCAAGGGGGAGGCCGCTGTAGCGCCTGCTGGAGGCTCGACGTGCGGCTCTTCAGGGCCCGCTGGGTCAAATGGGTGGCCGCAAAGAGCGGTTTCGGAAGCACCTCGCGGTGGTGGGAGCACACGAGAGGCGCGGGTGCGGGCACCGTGCATGCGGTTCCGGGGGTCACTGGGCGCTGACCGGGACGCGCACTGAGGGCAAGGGCGGCGCGCTGCTGGAGAAGCGGCGCCTGGTCCACATGGACTCGTCCCTCCAGGCTGTTTCATCGCCAGGCGCGAGAGCGCAAACCGGACACCAACAGGATTCTCTCGGGCCTGCTGACCCAGGAGGGGACGATGGCCACGACGTCGACCTCTGTCGGGGCACGGAGCGTGCAGGACGGGGCGGTCCGGGACTTGCTCGACGGGAGCCCCGCCTTGGCGGACCCGGAGAGCGGGCGCCTGGAGGCGCCCCGTCACCCTGGAGGAGCTTCACGCCGCGATGCGGCCCCGGGAATCGACGGCCTGCCGGTCGAGTTTGTACGCGGCCTTCTGGAAGGAGCTCGGCCCCCCCCCAGCTGCTGGAGGTGTTGGCGGAGAGCCTGAGAGAGGGGGAGCTCCCGCCGAGCTGCAGGAGGGCCGTCGAAGAAGGGAGACCTGCGCCGGATGGAGAACTGGCGGCCGGTGTCCCTCCTGTGCGCCGGTTACAAGGTGTTTGCAAAGGTGCTGGCCGACCGCCTCAAATCGGTGGTGGGTCAGCTGGTGCGGCCGGGGAACAAACCTATTGCGTCCCTGGCCGGTGCCTGCACGACGAACACAGGCACGGTCAGGGACGTGATCTCCTTGGCGGGGAGGGACGGCACGGATCTAGGCCTACCTCTTCCTCGACCAGGAGAAGGCATTCGACCGGATCGACCACGGATACCTGGAGGGATCTGCTCGCCTCGCAAGGGTTCGGGCGGACTTTCCGGGCGCAGGTGCCGCTCCTGTACGCGGGCGTGCAGGAGCACGCTGAAAATCAACCGGAGGCTCGGCGCCCCTTTCTCCGTGCCGAGCGGGAGGACCTGGAAATACCTGCACCTAACCAGTCCCGCGATTGGCACCGCTGTACCGGCTCCTCGGGGGCCATCTCCAGGAAACTGGGGACGGCCTTCCGGAGGGGCTGGATGGTGCACGGGGCCCCCCTACGCGGCCGGCAAAACGCCACGACCTGGCGAACTTTCGCCTGCTCTCAGGCCAGGCTGGCGGTTTACATGTCGCGAAAATGGGAGGGAGCTGCAGGACGCCGTGGACAGCGGCTGTTTGGTGTGTGAAGCGGTTTTTTTTTTATATATACGACCCCCCCCCCCCCTGACGCGTGTCACCGAGTGTCCACAATCGGTGGGGCATGCACCACCAAGAACACAGAAACGCCCCAGGGCTTTGCCGCTGGGGTAATAAAAGGTGCTTTAAAAGTCAAAAAAAGTCTCTCACTCCGTCTCTCCCTGTCTGTCTCTCTCTCTCTGTCTCTCTCTCCCTGTCTCTCTCTCCCTGTCTGTCTCTCTCTCTCTGTCTCTCTCTCCCTGTCTCTCTCTCCCTGTCTGTCTCTCTCTCTGTCTCTCTCTGTCTCTCTCTCACTGTCTCTCTCTCCCTGTCTCTCTCTCTCTGTCTCTCTCTCCCTGTCTCTCTCTCCCTGTCTGTCTCTCTCTCTGTCTCTCTCTGTCTCTCTCTCACTGTCTCTCTCTCCCTGTCTCTCTCTCCCTGTCTGTCTCTCTCTCTGTCTCACTCCGTCTCTCTCTCTCTCACTGTCTCTCTCTCTCCCTGTCTCTCTCTCTGTCTGTCTCTCTCTCTGTCTCACTCTGTCTCACTGTCTCTCTCTCTCCCTCTCTCTCACCGTCTCTCTCTCTGTCCCTCTCTCTCCCTCTCTCTCACCGTCTCTCTCTCTCCCTCTCTCTCACCGTCTCTCTCTCTCTCTCCCTCGCCACACCTCCCTCACCACTCACCCAGGAGTTACAGTTGTAGACGTAGACGCAGACGGCATTCTCGTAGGCGGCGCTGGGGAAAACCACGAACCACTTGGACAGGAAGTCCGTCTGTCTCTCTCTCGCTGTCTGTCTCTCTGTCTGTCTCTCTCCCTGTCTCTCTCTCCCTGTCTGTCTCTCTCTCTCACTCTCTCTCACTCTCTCACTCTCTCTCTGTCTCACTCTGTCTCACTCCGTCTCTCTCTCACTGTCTGTCTCTCTCTCTGTCTCTCTCTCTCACTGTCTCTCTCTCTCACTGTCTCTCTCTCTCTGTCTCTCTCACTCCGTCTCTCTCTGTCTCACTGTCTCTCTGTCTGTCTCTCCCTCTGTCTCTCTCTCCCTGTCTGTCTCTCCCTCTGTCTCTCTCTCCCTGTCTGTCTCTCCCTCTGTCTCTCTGTCACTGTTTCTCTCTCCCTGTCTCTCTCTCCCTGTCTGTCTCTCCCTCTGTCTCTCTGTCTGTCTCTCGCTCTGTCTCTCTCTCCCTGTCTCTCTCTCACTCTCTCTCACTCTCTCACTGTCTCTCTCTCTGTCTCACTCCGTCTCTCTCTCTCACTCTCTCACTGTCTCTCTCTCTGTCTGTCTCTCTCACTCCGTCTGTCTCTCTCTCACTCTCTCTCTCCCTCTCTCTCCCTGTCTCTCTCCCTGTCTGTCTCTCACCGTCTCTCTCTCTCTCTCCCTCGCCACACCTCCCTCACCACTCACCCAGGAGTTACAGTTGTAGACGTAGACGCAGACGGCATTCTCGTAGGCGGCGCTGGGGAAAACCACGAACCACTTGGACAGGAAGTCCGTCTTGAACCGGTTGCCTGCCCCCGTGTGTGTCAGGTCTAGCACCAGCTCGTACGGCTTCCCGTAGAACGGCTTCAGGGTCAGCAGCACGTGGTAGATGAGCAGGTCGCCGTTGATCTGGCCGGCCTTGAAGCTGTGGGGGCCGATGGGGTGGTGAGAAGGGGTCAGTGGTGGTGGTGGTGGTTGTGGTGGTTGTGGTGGTGGTTGTGGTGGTTGTGGTGGTTGTGGTGGTAGTGGTGGCGTTTATCTGGCCGGCCTTGAACCCACGACCTCCTGTATACCAGGCGAGGTAGTCAACATCTCTCAGGGTAATCGAACCCACGGGACCTCCTGTAGACCAGGCGAGGTAGTCAACATCTCTCAGGGTAATCGAACCCACGACTTCCTGTAGGCCAGGCGAGGTAATCAACATCTCTCAGGGTAATCGAACCCACGGGACCTCCTGTATACCAGGCGAGGTAGTCAACATCTCTCAGGCTAATCGAACCCACGACCTCCTGTATACCAGGTGAGGTAGTCAACATCTCTCAGGGTAATCGAACCCACGGCCTCCTGCGTACCGGGCGAGGTAGTCAACATCTCTCAGGGTAATCGAACCCACGGGACCTCCTGTAGACCTGGCGAGGTAGTCAACATCTCTCAGGGTAATCGAACCCACGACCTCCTGTAGACCAGGCGAGGTAGTCAACATCTCTCAGGGTAATCGAACCCACGACTTCCTGTAGGCCAGGCGAGGTAGTCAACATCTCTCAGGGTAATCGAACCCACGACCTCCTGTAGACCAGGCGAGGTAGTCAACATCTCTCAGGGTAATCGAACCCACGACCTCCTGCGTACCGGGCGAGGTAGTCAACATCTCTCAGGGTAATCGAACCCACGGGACCTCCTGTAGACCAGGCGAGGTAGTCAACATCTCTCGGGGTAATCGAACCCACGGGACCTCCTGTAGACCAGGCGAGGTAGTCAACATCTCTCAGGGTAATCGAACTCACGACCTCCTGTAGACCAAGCGAGGTAGTCAACATGTCTCAAGGTAATCGAACACACGACCTCCTGTATACCAGACGAGGTAGTCAACATCTCTCAGGGTAATCGAACCCACGACCTCCTGTAGACCAGGCGAGGTAGTCAACATCTCTCAGGGTGATGGAACCCACGACCTCCTGCATACCAGGTGAGGTAGTCAACATCTCACAGGGTCCGGGATGGAACCCACGACCTCCTGCGTACCAGGCGAGGTAGTCAACATCTCACAAGGTCCGGGATGGAACCCACGACCTCCTGTATACCTCGCGAGGTAGTGAACATCTCACAGGGTCCAGGATGGAACCCACGACCTCCTGTAGACCAGGCGAGGTAGTAAGCATCTCTCAGGGTAATCGAACCCACGACCTCCTGTAGACCAGGCGAGGTAGTCAACATCTCTCAGGGTAATCGAACCCACGACCTCCTGTAGACCAGGCGAGGTAGTCAACATCTCTCAGGGTAATCGAACCCACGACCTCCTGTATACCAGGCGAGGTAGTCAACATCTCTCAGGGTAATCGAACCCACGACCTCCTGTATACCAGGCGAGGTAGTCAACATCTCTCAGGGTAATCGAACCCACGACCTCCTGTAGACCAGGCGAGGTAGTCAACATCTCTCAGGGTGATGGAACCCACGACCTCCTGTATACCAGGCGAGGTAGTCAACATCTCACAGGGTCCGGGATGGAGCCCACGATCTCCTGCGTACCAGGCGAGGTAATCAACATCTCACAAGGTCCGGGATGGAACCCACGACCTCCTGCATACCAGGCGAGGTAGTCAACATCTCACAGGGTCCAGGATGGAACCCACGACCTCCTGCGTACCAGGCGAGGTAGTCAACATCTCCCGAGGCCCGGGATCTAAACCCACGACCTCCTGCGTACCGGGCGAGGTAGTCAACATCTCACAGGGTCCTGGATGGAACCCACGACCTCCTGCGTACCGGGCGAGGTAGTCAACATCTCACAGGGTCCGGGATGGAACCCACGACCTCCTGCGTACCGGGCGAGGTAGTCAACATCTCACAAGGCCCGGGATCTAAAACCCACGACCTCCTGCGTACCGGGCGAGGTAGTCAACATCTCACAGGGTCCGGGATGGAACCCACGACCTCCTGTAGACCAGGCGAGGTAGTCAACATCTCCCGAGGCCCGGGATCTAAACCCACGACCTCCTGCGTACCGGGCGAGGTAGTCAACATCTCACAGGGTCCGGCATGGAACCCACGACCTCCTGCGTACCAGGCGAGGTAATCAACATCTCACAGGGTCCGGGATGGAACCCACGACCTCCTGTAGACCAGGCGAGGTAGTCAACATCTCACAAGGCCTGGTATCTAAACCCACGGGATCTCCTGTATACCAGGCGAGGTAGTCAACATCTCTCAGGGTAATCGAACTCACGGGACCTCCTGTATACCAGGCGAGGTAGTCAACATCTCACAGGGTCCAGGATGGAACCCACGACCTCCTGCGTACCGAGCGAGGGAGTCAACATCTCCCGAGGCCCGGGATCTAAACCCACGACCTCCTGCGTACCGGGCGAGGTAGTCAACATCTCACAGGGTCCGGGATGGAACCCACGACCTCCTGCGTACCGGGCGAGGTAGTCAACATCTCACAGGGCCCGGGATCTAAACCCACGACCTCCTGCGTACCGGGCGAGGTAGTCAACATCTCCCGAGGCCCTGGATCTAAACCCACGACCTCCTGCGTACCGGGCGAGGTAGTCAACATCTCTCAGGGTAATCGAACTCACGGGATTTCCTGTATACCAGGCGAGGTAGTCAACATCTCTCATTGTAATCGAACCCACGACCTCCTGCGTACCAGGCGAGGTAGTCAACATCTCTCAGGGTAATCGAACCCACGGGACCTCCTGTAGACCAGGCGAGGTAGTCAACATCTCTCACGCTAATCAAACCCACGACCTCCTGTATACCAGGCGAGGTAGTCAACATCTCTCAGGGTAATCAAACTCACGGGACCTCCTGTAGACCAGGCGAGGTAGTCAACATCTCCCGAGGCCCGGGATCTAAACCCACGACCTCCTGCGTACCGGGCGAGGTAGTCAACATCTCTCAGGGTAATCGAACCCACGGGACCTCCTGTAGACCAGGCGGGGTAGTCAACATCTCACAGGGTCCGGGATGGAACCCACGACCTCCTGCGTACCGGGCGAGGTAGTCAACATCTCACAAGGCCCGGGATCTAAACCCACGACCTCCTGCGTACCGGGCGAGGTAGTCAACATCTGCCGAGGCCCGGGATCTAAACCCACGACCTCCTGCGTACCGGGCGAGGTAGTCAACATCTCCCGAGGCCCGGGATCTAAACCCACGACCTCCTGCGTACCAGGCGAGGTAGTCAACATCTCACAGGGTCCGGGATGGAACCCACGACCTCCTGCGTACCGGGCGAGGTAATCAACATCTCACAGGGTTCGGGATGGAACCCACGATCTCCTGCGTACCAGGCGAGGTAATCAACATCTCACAGGGTCCGGGATGGAACCCACGACCTCCTGCGTACCGGGCGAGGTAGTCAACATCTCACAGGGCCCGGGATCTAAACCCACGACCTCCTGCGTACCGGGCGAGGTAGTCAACATCTCCCGAGGCCCGGGATCTAAACCCACGACCTCCTGCGTACCGAGCGAGGTAGTCAACATCTCCCGGGGCCCGGGATCTAAACTCACGACCTCCTGTAGACCAGGCGAGGTAGACAACATCTCCCGAGGCCCGGGATCTAAACCCACGACCTCCTGCGTACCGGGCGAGGTAGTCAACATCTCACAGGGTCCGGGATGGAACCCACGACCTCCTGCGTACCGGGCGAGGTAGTCAACATCTCACAGGGTCTGGGATTGAACCCACGACCTCCTGCATACCGGGCGAGGTAGTCAACATCTCCCGAGGCCCGGGATCTAAACCCACGACCTCCTGCGTACCGGGCGAGGTAGTCAACATCTCCCGAGGCCCGGGATCTAAACCCACGACCTCCTGCGTACCGGGCGAGGTAGTCAACATCTCTCAGGGTAATCGAACCCACGGGATCTCCTGTATACCAGGCGAGGTAGTCAACATCTCACAGGGTCCGGGATGGAACCCACGACCTCCTGCGTACCGGGCGAGGTAGTCAACATCTCACAGGGTCCGGGATGGAACCCACGACCTCCTGCGTACCGGGCGAGGTAGTCAACATCTCCCGAGGCCCGGGATCTAAACCCACGACCTCCTGCGTACCGGGCGAGGTAGTCAACATCTCCCGAGGCCCGGGATCTAAACCCACGACCTCCTGCGTACAGGGCGAGGTAGTCAACATCTCACAAGGCCCGGGATCTAAACCCACGACCTCCTGCGTACCGGGCGAGGTAGTCAACATCTCACAGGGTCCGGGATGGAACCCACGACCTCCTGCGTACCGGGCGAGGTAGTCAACATCTCACAGGGTCCGGGATGGAACCCACGACCTCCTGCAGACCAGGCGAGGTAGTCAACATCTCACAGGGTCCGGGATGGAACCCACGACCTCCTGCAGACCAGGCGAGGTAGTCAACATCTCACAGGGTCCGGGATGGAACCCACGACCTCCTGCGTACCGGGCGAGGTAGTCAACATCTCACAGGGTCCGGGATGGAACCCACAGCCTCCTGTATACCAGGCGAGGTAGTCAACATCTCTCAGGGTCCGGGATCTAAACCCACGACCTCCTGCGTACCGGGCGAGGTAGTCAACATCTCACAGGGCCCGGGATCTAAACCCACGACCTCCTGCGTACCGGGCGAGGTAGTCAACATCTCCCGAGGCCCGGGATCTAAACCCACGACCTCCTGCGTACCGAGCGAGGTAGTCAACATCTCCCGGGGCCCGGGATCTAAACCCACGACCTCCTGTATACCAGGCGAGGTAGTCAACATCTCTCAGGGTAATCAAACTCACGGGACCTCCTGTAGACCAGGCGAGGTAGACAACATCTCCCGAGGCCCAGGATCTAAACCCACGACCTCCTGCATACCGGGCGAGGTAGTCAACATCTCACAGGGTCCGGGATGGAACCCACAGCCTCCTGTATACCAGGCGAGGTAGTCAACATCTCTCAGGGTCCGGGATCTAAACCCACGACCTCCTGCGTACCAGGCGAGGTAGTCAACATCTCACAGGGTCCGGGATCTAAACCCACGACCTCCTGCGTACCGAGCGAGGTAGTCAACATCTCACAGGGCCCGGGATGGAACCCACGACCTCCTGCGTACCGGGCGAGGTAGTCAACATCTCACAGGGCCCGGCATCTAAACCCACGACCTCCTGCGTACCGGGCGAGGTAGTCAACATCTCACAGGGTCCGGGATGGAACCCACGACCTCCTGCGTACCGGGCGAGGTAGTCAACATCTCACAGGGTCTGGGATTGAACCCACGACCTCCTGCATACCGGGCGAGGTAGTCAACATCTCCCGAGGCCCGGGATCTAAACCCACGACCTCCTGCGTACCGGGCGAGGTAGTCAACATCTCCCGAGGCCCGGGATCTAAACCCACGACCTCCTGCGTACCGGGCGAGGTAGTCAACATCTCTCTGGGTAATCGAACCCACGGGATCTCCTGTATACCAGGCGAGGTAGTCAACATCTCACAGGGTCCGGGATGGAACCCACGACCTCCTGCGTACCGGGCGAGGTAGTCAACATCTCACAGGGTCCGGGATGGAACCCACGACCTCCTGCGTACCGGGCGAGGTAGTCAACATCTCCCGAGGCCCGGGATCTAAACCCACGACCTCCTGCGTACCGGGCGAGGTAGTCAACATCTCCCGAGGCCCGGGATCTAAACCCACGACCTCCTGCGTACCGGGCGAGGTAGTCAACATCTCACAAGGCCCGGGATCTAAACCCACGACCTCCTGCGTACCGGGCGAGGTAGTCAACATCTCACAGGGTCCGGGATGGAACCCACAACCTCCTGCGTACCGGGCGAGGTAGTCAACATCTCACAGGGTCTGGGATGGAACCCACGACCTCCTGCAGACCAGGCGAGGTAGTCAACATCTCACAGGGTCCGGGATGGAACCCACGACCTCCTGCATACCAGGCGAGGTAGTCAACATCTCACAGGGTCCGGGATGGAACCCACGACCTCCTGCGTACCGGGCGAGGTAGTCAACATCTCACAGGGTCCGGGATGGAACCCACAGCCTCCTGTATACCAGGCGAGGTAGTCAACATCTCTCAGGGTCCGGGATCTAAACCCACGACCTCCTGCGTACCGGGCGAGGTAGTCAACATCTCACAGGGCCCGGGATCTAAACCCACGACCTCCTGCGTACCGGGCGAGGTAGTCAACATCTCCCGAGGCCCGGGATCTAAACCCACGACCTCCTGCGTACCGAGCGAGGTAGTCAACATCTCCCGGGGCCCGGGATCTAAACCCACGACCTCCTGTAGACCAGGCGAGGTAGTCAACATCTCTCAGGGTAATCAAACTCACGGGACCTCCTGTAGACCAGGCGAGGTAGACAACATCTCCCGAGGCCCGGGATCTAAACCCACGACCTCCTGCGTACCGGGCGAGGTAGTCAACATCTCACAGGGTCTGGGATTGAACCCACGACCTCCTGCATACCGGGCGAGGTAGTCAACATCTCCCGAGGCCCGGGATCTAAACCCACGACCTCCTGCGTACCGGGCGAGGTAGTCAACATCTCTCAGGGTAATCGAACCCACGGGATCTCCTGTATACCAGGCGAGGTAGTCAACATCTCACAGGGTCCGGGATGGAACCCACGACCTCCTGCGTACCAGGCGAGGTAGTCAACATCTCACAGGGTCCAGGATGGAACCCACGACCTCCTGCGTACCGGGCGAGGTAGTCAACATCTCCCGAGGCCCGGGATCTAAACCCACGACCTCCTGCGTACCGGGCGAGGTAGTCAACATCTCCCGAGGCCCGGGATCTAAACCCACGACCTCCTGCGTACCGGGCGAGGTAGTCAACATCTCACAAGGCCCGGGATCTATACCCACGACCTCCTGCGTACCGGGCGAGGTAGTCAACATCTCACAGGGTCCGGGATGGAACCCACGACCTCCTGCGTACCGGGCGAGGTAGTCAACATCTCACAGGGTCCGGGATGGAACCCACGACCTCCTGCAGACCAGGCGAGGTAGTCAACATCTCACAGGGTCCGGGATGGAACCCACGACCTCCTGCAGACCAGGCGAGGTAGTCAACATCTCACAGGGTCCGGGATGGAACCCACGACCTCCTGCATACCGGGCGAGGTAGTCAACATCTCACAGGGTCCGGGATGGAACCCACAGCCTCCTGTATACCAGGCGAGGTAGTCAACATCTCTCAGGGTCCGGGATCTAAACCCACGACCTCCTGCGTACCAGGCGAGGTAGTCAACATCTCACAGGGTCCGGGATCTAAACCCACGACCTCCTGCGTACCGAGCGAGGTAGTCAACATCTCACAGGGCCCGGGATGGAACCCACGACCTCCTGCGTACCGGGCGAGGTAATCAACATCTCACAGGGCCCGGGATCTAAACCCACGACCTCCTGCGTACCGGGCGAGGTAGTCAACATCTCTCAGGGTCCGGGATGGAACCCACGACCTCCTGCGTACCGGGCGAGGTAGTCAACATCTCTCAGGGTAATCGAACCCACGGGACCTCCTGTAGACCAGGCGAGGTAGTCAACATCTCTCAGGGTAATCGAACCCACGGGACCTCCTGCATACCAGGCGAGGTAGTCAACATCTCTCAGGGTAATCGAACCCACGACCTCCTGCGTACCGGGCGAGGTAGTCAACATCTCCCGGGGCCAGCTCACCGGCGTGCGATGTAGTAGAAGACGGGGTTCCCAGCCTTCGAAACGCCGGCCTGGTAGAAAATGTTGAGCGTCTTGAGGGCCTTAAACTCCTCCTTCTCGTGGACCTGGTGCCTGAACAGCACGCGGGCAAAGGTGACACGTGTAGCCTTTACACGACTTGCATGGGGAAAGTGCACACTGAACCTACACTCACACCAACACACACACACACCTACACACACACACCTACACTCACACCAACACACACACCTACACACACACACACCTACACAGACACACCTACACACACACACCTACACTCACACCAACACACACACACCTACACTCACACACACCTACACACACACACCTACACCTACACACACCTACACACACACACACCTACACACACACACACACACCTACACACACACCTACACACACACCTACACACACACACCTACACACACACACACACCTACACACACACACCTACACACACACACACACACCTACACACACACCTACACACACACCTACACACACCTACACACACACACCTACACACACATCTACACACACACACACCTACACACACCTGCACACACCTACACACACACACACCTACACACACACCTACACTCACACCAACACACACACCTACACACACTCACCTACACTCACACCAACACACACACACCTACACACACACACCTACACACACACACACTTACCTACACTCACACCAACACAGACACACCTACACACACACACCTACACTCACACCAACACACACACACCTACACACACACACCTACACAGACATACACCTACACAGACACACACCAACACACACACCTACACTCACACACACCTACACAGACACACACCTACACAGACACCTACACCCACACACACCTACACACACACCTACACACACACACTTACACTCACATACACCTACACAGACATACACCTACACAGACACACACCAACACACACACCTACACTCACACACACCTACACAGACACACACCAACACACACACCTACACTCACACACCTACACACACACCTACACAGACACCTACACCCACACACACCTACACCCACACACCTACACCCACACACACCTACACACACACACCTACACACACACCTACACTCACACCAACACACACACACCTACACACACACTTACCTACACTCACACCAACACACACACACCTACACTCACACACCTACACTCACACACCTACACACACACACACACCTACACACACTTACCTACACTCACACCAACACTACCACACCTACACTCACACCAACACACACACACCTACACACACACACCTACACTCACACACACCTACACAGACACACACCTACACAGACACCTACACCCACACACACCTACACCCACACACCTACACACACACCTACACTCACACCAACACACACACACTTACACTCACACACACCTACACAGACATACACCTACACAGACACACACCAACACACACACCTACACTCACACACACCTACACAGACACACACCAACACACACACCTACACTCACACACACCTACACAGACACACACCTACACAGACACCTACACCCACACACACCTACACCCACACACACCTACACCCACACACACCTACACACACACACACCTACACTCACACCTACACACACACCTACACACACACCTACACCCACACACCTACACAGACATACACTCACACCAACACACACACACCAACACACACACATACACCTACACAGACAAACACCTACACACCTACACACACACACCTACAAACACCTATACACACACACCTACACACACCTACACACAGCAACACACCTACACACACCTATACACACACACCTACACACAGCAACACACCTACACACACACCTACACACACACCCACACAGACACACCTACACACAGCAACACACCTACACACACACACCTACACACACACACACACCTACACAGACACACACACACCTACACAGACACACACCTACACAGACACACTCACTTACACACACTCACCTACACACACCTACACAGACATACACCTACACACACACACCTACACACAGCAACACACCTACACACACACACCTACACACACCTACACACACCTACACACACACACCTACACACACCTACATACACACACTACACACACACACCTACACACACACCTCTACACACACACACCTACACACACACCTACACACACACACACCTACACACACACACCTACACACACACACCTACACACACACACACCTACACACACACCTACACACACACCTACACACACCTACACACACACACCTACACACACCTACACACACACACACCTACACACACACACCTACACACACCTACACACACCTACACACACACCTACACACACACCTACACACACACCCCTACACAAACACACACCTACACACACACCTACACACACACCCCTACACACACACCTACACACACATCTACACACACACACACCTACACACACACCCCTACACACACCTACACACACACACCTACACACACACCTACAAACACACACACCTACACACACACCTACACACACACCTATACACACACACCTACACACACACCTACACACACGTACACACACACCTACACACACACACACCTACACACACACACCTACACACACCTACACACACACACACCTACACACACCTACACACACACACCTACACACACACACCTACACACACACACACCTACACACACACACACACCTACACACACACACACACACCTACACACACCTACACACACCTACACACACACACCTACACACACACACTTACACACCTACACACACACACCTACACACACACACACCTACACACACCTACACACACACACCTACACACACACCCCTACACACACCTACACACACACACCTACACACACACCTACAAACACACACACCTACACACACACCTACACACACACCTATACACACACACCTACACACACACCCCTACACACACCTACACACACACACCTACACACACACCTACAAACACACACACCTACACACACACCTACACACACACCTATACACACACACCTACACACACACCTACACACACGTACACACACACCTACACACACACACACCTACACAGACACACACCTACAGACATACACCTACACACACACACACCTACACACACACACCTACACAGACACACACGTACACTCACACCTACACACTCACACCAACACACACACACCTACACAGACACCTACACCCACACACACCTACACAGACATACACCTACACTCACACCTACACACTCACACCAACACACACACACCTACACAGACACACACCTACACAGACACACACCTACACAGACACACACCTACACACACACCTACACCCACACAGACACACTTACCTACACTCACACCAACACACACATACCTACACAGACACACACCTACACACACACACACACACCTACACCCACACACACCTACACACACACACACCTACACTCACACCTACACACACACCTACACACACACCTACACCCACACACCTACACAGACATACACTCACACCAACACACACACACCAACACACACACATACACCTACACAGACAAACACCTACACACCTACACACACACACCTACAAACACCTATACACACACACCTACACACACCTACACACAGCAACACACCTACACACACCTATACACACACACCTACACACAGCAACACACCTACACACACACCTACACACACACCCACACAGACACACCTACACACAGCAACACACCTACACACACACACCTACACACACACACACACCTACACAGACACACACACACCTACACAGACACACACCTACACAGACACACTCACTTACACACACTCACCTACACACACCTACACAGACATACACCTACACACACACACCTACACACAGCAACACACCTACACACACACACCTACACACACCTACACACACCTACACACACACACCTACACACACCTACATACACACACTACACACACACACCTACACACACACCTCTACACACACACACACACCTACACACACACCTACACACACACACACCTACACACACACACCTACACACACACACCTACACACACACACACCTACACACACACCTACACACACACCTACACACACCTACACACACACACCTACACACACCTACACACACACACACCTACACACACACACACACCTACACACACCTACACACACACACCTACACACACACCTACACACACACCCCTACACAAACACACACCTACACACACACCTACACACACACCCCTACACACACCTACACACACATCTACACACACACACACCTACACACACACCCCTACACACACCTACACACACACACCTACAAACACACACACCTACACACACACCTACACACACACCTATACACACACACCTACACACACACCTACACACACGTACACACACACCTACACACACACCTACACACACCTACACACACACACACACCTACACACACCTACACACACACACCTACACACACACACACCTACACACACACACACACCTACACACACACACACACCTACACACACCTACACACACACACCTACACACACACACCTACACACCTACACACACACACCTACACACACACCTACACACACCTACACACACACACCTACACACACACACACCTACACACACACACCTACACACACACCTACACACACACACCCACACCTACACACACCTCGTCATGAACTCCTCAAACTTGGAGCTGGTGAGGTTCAGGCTCGACCAATGGGTGTCTCACACACATACACACACCTACACACACACCTACACACCTATACACCTACACACACACACACCTACACACACACCTACACACACACACCTACACACACACACCTACACACACACCTACACACACACACCTACACACACACACACCTATACACCTACACACACACACACCTACACACACACACACCTACACACACACCTACACACACACACACCTACACACACACCTACACACACATACCTACACACACCTACACACACACCTACACACACACCTACACACACACACCTACACACACACACACCTACACACACACACCTACACACACCTCGTCATGAACTCCTCAAACTTGGAGCTGGTGAGATTCAGGCTCGACCAATGGGTGTCTCACACACACACCTACACACACACACACCTACACACACCTACACACACACACACCTACACACACCTACACACACACACACCTACACACACACACCTACACACACACACCTACACACACCTACACACACACACCTACACACACACCTACACACACACACCTACACACACACACCTACACACACCTACACACACACACACACACCTCGTCATGAACTCCTCAAACTTGGAGCTGGTGAGGTTCAGGCTCGACCAATGGGTGTCTCACACACACCTACACACACACCTACACACACACACCTACACACACACACACACCTACACCTACACACACACACACACCTACACACACACACACCTACACACACACCTACACACACACCTCGTCATGAACTCCTCAAACTTGGAACTGGTGAGGTTCAGGCTCGACCAATGGGTGTCACACACACACACACACACCTACACACACACACACCTACACACACCTACACAGACACACACACACACCTACACACACACCTACACACACACACCTACACACACACACCCACACACACACCTACACACACCTCGTCATGAACTCCTCAAACTTGGAGCTGGTGAGGTTCAGGCTCGACCAATGGGTGTCTCACACACACACCTACACACACACCTACACACACACACACCTACACACACACCTACACACACCTACACACACACACACCTACACACACACACCTACACACACACCTCGTCATGAACTCCTCAAACTTGGAGCTGGTGAGGTTCAGGCTCGACCAATGGGTATCTCACACACACACCTACACACACACCTACACACACACACACCTACACACACACACACCTACACACACACACCTACACACACACCTCGTCATGAACTCCTCAAACTTGGAACTGGTGAGGTTCAGGCTCGACCAATGTGTGTCTCACACACACACACACACCTACACCTACACACACCTACACACACCTACACACACCTACACACACACCTACACACACACCTACACACACCTACACACACACACCTACACACACACACCTACACACACACCTACACACACACACCTACACACACACCTACACACACACACCTACACACACACACACCTACACACACCTACACACACACACCTACACACACACACCTACACACACACCTACACACACACCTACACACACACCTACACACACACACCTACACACACACACCTACACACACACACCTACACACACACACCTACACACACACACCTACACACACACCTACACACACACCTACAGACACACACACCTACACACACACACACCTACACACACACACACCTACACACACACACACCTACACACACACACCTACACACACACACCTACACACACACACACACACACACACCTACACACACACACCTACACACACACACCTACACACACACACACCTACACACACCTACACACACACACCTACACACACACACCTACACACACACCTACACACACACCTACACACACACACCTACACACACACACCTACACACACACACCTACACACACACACCTACACACACACACACACACACCTACAGACACACACACCTACAGACACACACACCTACACACACACACACCTACACACACACACACCTACACACACACACCTACACACACACACCTACACACACACCTACACACACACACCTACACACACACACACCTACACACACACACCTACACACACACACACACACCTACACACACACACCTACACACACACACCTACACACACCTACACACACACACACCTACACCTACACACACACACACCTACACACACACACCTACACACACACACCTACACACACACACACACACCTCGTCATGAACTCCTCAAACTTGGAGCTGGTGAGGTTCAGGCTCGACCAATGGGTGTCTCACACACACCTACACACACACCTACACACACACCTACACACACACACACACCTACACACACACACCTACACACACACCTCGTCATGAACTCCTCAAACTTGGAGCTGGTGAGGTTCAGGCTCGACCAATGTGTGTCTCACACACACACACACACACCTACACACACACACACCTACACACACCTACACACACCTACACACACCTACACACACACCTACACACACACCTACACACACACACCTACACACACACCTACACACACACACACCTACACACACACACCTACACACACACCTACACACACCTACACACACACACCTACACACACACCTCGTCATGAACTCCTCAAACTTGGAGCTGGTGAGGTTCAGGCTCGACCAATGGGTGTCACACACACACACCTACACACACACCTACACACACACACCTACACACACACACACACACCTACACACACCTCGTCATGAACTCCTCAAACTTGGAGCTGGTGAGGTTCAGGCTCGACCAATGGGTGTCTCACACACACACCTACACACACACACCTACACACACACACACCTACACACACCTACACACACACACCTACACACACACCTACACACACACACCTCGTCATGAACTCCTCAAACTTGGAGCTGGTGAGGTTCAGGCTCGACCAATGGGTGTCTCACACACACACACCTACACACACACCTACACACACACACCTACACACACACACCTACACACACACACCTACACACACACACACACCTACACACACACACCTACACACACACACACCTACACACACACACCTACACACACACCTACACACACACACCTACACACAGACACCTACACACACCTACACACACACACACCTACACACACACACCTACACACACACACACACCTACACACACACCTACACACACACACACCTACACACACACACACACACCTACACACACACACACCTCGTCATGAACTCCTCAAACTTGGAGCTGGTGAGGTTCAGGCTCGACCAATGGGTGTCTCACACACACCTACACACATACACACACAACCTACACACACACACACCTACACACACACACACCTACACACACACCTCGTCATGAACTCCTCAAACTTGGAGCTGGTGAGGTTCAGGCTCGACCAATGAGTGTCACACACACACAGACACACACCTACACACACCTACATACACACCTACACACACCTACACACACACACACACCTACACACACACACCTACACACACACACACACACCTACACACACACCTCGTCATGAACTCCTCAAACTTGGAGCTGGTGAGGTTCAGGCTCGACCAATGGGTGTCTCACACACACACCTACACACACACACCTACACACACACACACCTACACACACCTACACACACACACCTACACACACACACCTCGTCATGAACTCCTCAAACTTGGAGCTGGTGAGGTTCAGGCTCGACCAATGGGTGTCTCACACACACACACCTACACACACACCTACACACACACACCTACACACACACACCTACACACACACACCTACACACACACACCTACACACACACACACCTACACACACACACACCTACACACACACACACACATACACACACACACACACCTACACACACACACCTACACACACACACCTACACACCTACACACACACACACCTACACACACACACACCTACACACACACACACACACCTACACACACACACCTCGTCATGAACTCCTCAAACTTGGAGCTGGTGAGGTTCAGGCTCGACCAATGGGTGTCTCACACACACCTACACACACACACCTACACACCTACACACACACACACCTACACACACACACACCTACACACACACCTCGTCATGAACTCCTCAAACTTGGAGCTGGTGAGGTTCAGGCTCGACCAATGGGTGTCGGCCACCGGTTTGTGCTCCGGAGGCCCCAGGTAGGCCAGCAGCGTCGCCATCTTGTCAAAGGGTCGCCGCCCCACTGCCTTGTGGTCTCTGGGGGGTGGGGGTGAGTGGGTGCGGTGGGCGGGGTTTATGGGTGGGTGGGCGGGGTTTATGGGTGGGTGGGCGGGGTTTATGGGTGGGTGGGCGGGGTTTATGGGTGGGTGGGTGGGCGGGGTTTATGGGTGGGTGGGCGGGGTTTATGGGTGGGTGGGCGGGGTTTATGGGTGGGTGGGCGGGGTTTATGGGTGGGTGGGCGGGGTTTATGGGTGGGTGGGTGGGGTGGGTGGGTGGGTAGGGTGTTGTGTCTGGTGGTGGAGTGTTGTGTCTGGTGGGTGGGAGGGTAGGTGAGGTGTTGTGTCTGATGGTGGGGTGTTGTGTCAGATGGTGGTGGAGTGTTGTGTCTGGTGGGTGGGTGGGTAGGTGGGGTGTTGTGTCTGATGGTGGGGTGTTGTGTCAGATGGTGGTGGAGTGTTGTGTCTGATGGGTGGGTGGGTAGGTGGGGTGTTGTGTCTGATGGTGGGGTGTTGTGTCAGATGGTGGTGGAGTGTTGTGTCTGGTGGGTGGGTGGGTAGGTGGGGTGTTGTGTCTGATGGTGGGGTGTTGTGTCAGATGGTGGTGGAGTGTTGTGTCTGATGGGTGGGTGGGTAGGTGGGGTGTTGTGTCTGATGGTGGGGTGTTGTGTCAGATGGTGGTGGAGTGTTGTGTCTGGTGGGTGGGTGGGTAGGTGGGGTGTTGTGTCTGATGGTGGGGTGTTGTGTCTGATGGTGGGGTGTTGTGGCCGGTGATGGGGTGTTGTGTCTGATGGTGAGGTGTTGTGTTTGGTGATGGGGGTGTTGTGTCTGATGGAGTGTTGTGTCTGGTGGTGAGGTGTTGTGTCTGGTGGGTGGGTGGGAGGGTAGGTGGGGTGTTGTGTCTGGTGGTGGTGGGGGTGTTGTGTCTGGTGGTGGGGGTGTTGTGGCCAGTGATGGGGTGTTGTGGCCGGTGATGGGGTGTTGTGTCTGGTGGTGGTGGGGTGTTGTGTCTGGTGTTGGGGTGTTGTGTCTGGTGGTGAGGTGTTGTGTCTGGTGGTGGTGAGGTGTTGTGTCTGATGGGGTGTTGTGTCTGGTGTTGGGGTGTTGTGTCTGGTGGTGAGGTGTTGTGTCTGGTGGTGGGGGTGTTGTGTCTGGTGGGGGTGGGGGTGTTGTGTCTGGTGGTGGGGTGTTGTGTCTGGTGATGGGGTGTTGTGTCTGATGGGGTGTTGTGTCTGATGGGGTGTTGTGTCTGGTGGTGGGGGGTGTTGTGTCTGGTGGTGGGGTGTTGTGTCTGGTGGTGATGGGGTGTTGTGTCCGGTGATGGGGTGTTGTGTCTGGTGGTGGGGGTGTTGTGTCTGGTGGTGGTGGGGGTGTTGTGTCTGGTGGTGGGGTGTTGTGTCTGGTGGTGGTGGGGGTGTTGTGTCTGGTGGTGAGGTGTTGTGTCTGATGGTGAGGTGTTGTGTGTGGTGGTGGTGGGGTGTTGTGTCCGATGGGGTGTTGTGTGTGGTGGTGGGGTGTTGTGTCTGGTGGTGAGGTGTTGTGTGTGGTGGTGGTGGGGTGTTGTGTCTGATGGAGTGTTGTGTCTGATGGGGTGTTGTGTCTGGTGGTGGTGAGGTGTTGTGTCTGATGGAGTGTTGTGTCTGATGGGGTGTTGTGTCTGATGGAGTGTTGTGTCTGATGGGGTGTTGTATCTGATGGAGTGTTGTATCTGATGGAGTGTTGTATCTGATGGAGTGTTGTGTCTGATGGGGTGTTGTATCTGATGGAGTGTTGTGTCTGATGGAGTGTTGTGTCTGATGGAGTGTTGTATCTGATGGAGTGTTGTATCTGATGGAGTGTTGTGTCTGATGGGGTGTTGTGTCTGATGGAGTGTTGTATCTGATGGAGTGTTGTGTCTGATGGAGTGTTGTATCTGATGGAGTGTTGTGTCTGATGGAGTGTTGTATCTGATGGAGTGTTGTATCTGATGGAGTGTTGTGTCTGATGGGGTGTTGTGTCTGATGGGGTGTTGTGTCTGGTGGAGTGTTGTATCTGATGGAGTGTTGTATCTGATGGAGTGTTGTGTCTGATGGAGTGTTGTGTCTGATGGAGTGTTGTATCTGATGGAGTGTTGTGTCTGATGGAGTGTTGTATCTGATGGAGTGTTGTGTCTGATGGAGTGTTGTGTCTGATGGTGGTGCTGGTGGTGTTGTGTCTGATGGAGTGTTGTGTCTGATGGAGTGTTGTGTCTGATGGAGTGTTGTGTCTGATGGAGTGTTGTGTCTGGTGGTGGGGGGGTGTTGTATCTGATGGAGTGTTGTGTCTGGTGGTGGTGAGGTGTTGTGTCTGGTGGTGGGGGGGTGTTGTGTCTGATGGAGTGTTGTATCTGATGGAGTGTTGTGTCTGATGGAGTGTTGTGTCTGATGGAGTGTTGTGTCTGATGGAGTGTTGTGTCTGATGGAGTGTTGTGTCTGGTGGTGGTGCTGGTGGTGTTGTGTCTGATGGAGTGTTGTATCTGATGGAGTGTTGTATCTGATGGAGTGTTGTGTCTGGTGGTGGTGAGGTGTTGTGTCTGATGGAGTGTTGTGTCTGATGGAGTGTTGTGTCTGATGGAGTGTTGTGTCTGGTGGTGGTGAGGTGTTGTGTCTGGTGGTGAGGTGTTGTATGTGATGGAGTGTTGTATCTGATGGAGTGTTGTTTCTGGTGGTGGTGCTGGTGGTGTTGTGTCTGATGGAGTGTTGTATCTGATGGAGTGTTGTATCTGATGGAGTGTTGTATCTGATGGAGTGTTGTATCTGATGGAGTGTTGTGTCTGGTGGTGGTGAGGTGTTGTATCTGATGGAGTGTTGTGTCTGATGGAGTGTTGTGTCTGGTGGTGGTGAGGTGTTGTATCTGATGGAGTGTTGTGTCTGATGGTGGTGAGGTGTTGTGTCTGGTGGTGAGGTGTTGTATGTGATGGAGTGTTGTATCTGATGGAGTGTTGTTTCTGGTGGTGGTGCTGGTGGTGTTGTGTCTGATGGAGTGTTGTATCTGATGGAGTGTTGTGTCTGATGGAGTGTTGTGTCTGATGGAGTGTTGTATCTGATGGAGTGTTGTGTCTGATGGAGTGTTGTGTCTGATGGAGTGTTGTATCTGATGGAGTGTTGTGTCTGATGGAGTGTTGTGTCTGGTGGTGGGGGGGTGTTGTGTCTGATGGAGTGTTGTATCTGATGGAGTGTTGTGTCTGATGGAGTGTTGTATCTGATGGAGTGTTGTGTCTGATGGAGTGTTGTGTCTGATGGAGTGTTGTATCTGATGGAGTGTTGTGTCTGATGGAGTGTTGTGTCTGGTGGTGGGGGGGTGTTGTGTCTGATGGAGTGTTGTATCTGATGGAGTGTTGTGTCTGATGGAGTGTTGTATCTGATGGAGTGTTGTGTCTGATGGAGTGTTGTGTCTGATGGAGTGTTGTATCTGATTGAGTGTTGTATCTGATGGAGTGTTGTATCTGATGGAGTGTTGTATCTGATGGAGTGTTGTGTCTGATGGAGTGTTGTATCTGATGGAGTGTTGTGTCTGATGGAGTGTTGTGTCTGATGGAGTGTTGTGTCTGATGGAGTGTTGTGTCTGATGGAGTGTTGTGTCTGATGGAGTGTTGTGTCTGATGGAGTGTTGTATCTGATGGTGGGGGGGTGTTGTGTCTGATTGAGTGTTGTGTCTGATGGAGTGTTGTGTCTGATGGAGTGTTGTATCTGATGGAGTGTTGTGTCTGATGGAGTGTTGTGTCTGATGGAGTGTTGTATCTGATGGAGTGTTGTGTCTGGTGGTGGTGAGGTGTTGTGTCTGATGGAGTGTTGTGTCTGATGGAGTGTTGTGTCTGATGGAGTGTTGTGTCTGGTGGTGGTGAGGTGTTGTGTCTGATGGAGTGTTGTGTCTGATGGAGTGTTGTGTCTGATGGAGTGTTGTGTCTGATGGAGTGTTGTATCTGATGGAGTGTTGTATCTGATGGAGTGTTGTGTCTGGTGGTGGGGGGGTGTTGTGTCTGATTGAGTGTTGTATCTGATGGAGTGTTGTATCTGATGGAGTGTTGTGTCTGGTGGTGGTGAGGTGTTGTGTCTGATGGAGTGTTGTGTCTGATGGGGTGTTGTATCTGATGGAGTGTTGTGTCTGGTGGTGGTGAGGTGTTGTATCTGATGGAGTGTTGTGTCTGATGGAGTGTTGTGTCTGATGGAGTGTTGTATCTGATGGAGTGTTGTATCTGATGGAGTGTTGTGTCTGGTGGTGGTGCTAGTGGTGTTGTGTCTGATGGAGTGTTGTATCTGATGGAGTGTTGTATCTGATGGAGTGTTGTGTCTGGTGGTGGTGAGGTGTTGTATCTGATCTGATGGAGTGTTGTATCTGGTGGTGGTGAGGTGTTGTGTCTGATGGTGGGGTGTTGTGTCTGGTGATGATGGGGTGTTGTGTCTGACGGAGTGTTGTGTCTGGTGGTGGTGCTGGTGGTGTCGTGGCCAGGGTGCCCACCTGTTACTGGACAGGTACTGCCCGATCTTCTCCTGGTTGTTCCACAGCAGACGGTGCAGCGCCCGCACGTTGCCATCGCTGATGAGGGACAGGCCACCGCCTCCACCGCCTCCACCGCCTCCACCGCCTCCACCGCCTCCACCGCCTCCACCGCCTCCACCGCCTCCTCCGCCACCGCCGCCACCGCCGCCGTGGTTCACCGCTTCTGCCACGGGACAGTCGGAGGCGATGTCCTGGAAGAACCTGGGGGGAGCGGAGGGGGGTTGACAGAAAGAGTGCGTGTGTGTATGTGTCTGTGTGTGTGTGTGTCTGTGTGTGTGTGTGTGTATCTGTGTGTGTGTGTCTGTGTGTGTGTATCTGTTTGTGTGTGTATCTGTGTGTGTGTATCTGTGTGTGTGTCCGTGTGTGTGTATCTGTGTGTGTGTATCTGTGTGTGTGTGTGTGTGTGTCTGTGTGTGTGTGGTGGGTGTACACCCAGGACCCCATTCCAACCTAAAGTGGCCTGGTCTCAGTTATCTGATGAAAGTTGCAAGCGAGAATTTCATCATCGCTTGCGGCTGGGATTGGCATCGTCCCCGACTCCTCCTGATGTCGAGGGTAAATGGGCGAGGTTTAGGACTGTGACTCATGCAGCTGCAATGGCTGCTTTGGGTACGCGGTCCAGACATCCCCAGACACCCTGGATGACAGAGGAGTTGTTCAGGATGGTTGAGAAAAAGCGACAGGCCCACTGTCATCGGCTACAGAATCCCACGTCAGAGAATGAGGAGGCTTACCGCAGCCTTCGCTCGGAGGTTCGGAGAGCCGTGAGGCGCTGCAAGGATGGGTGGTGGTCGCGGGTTGCTGAGGAGATGGAGTCTGCCTCAGTGGCCCGTGATCACACATCTCTATTTAACTCCATCAAAAAAGTAACCTGCAGCGCCACACCTATTACCATCATTAGGGGAAAAAAACGGTGATCCAATTTCCGACCCCCAGGAACAGGTTCGCAGATTTGCTGAGCATTTCTGTGAGGTCCTGGGGGAGGGAAAATCCCTCAGCCAGGAAAACATCGCGGCACAAAGTGAGGATGACCCTGCTGAGGCTGCGGTGCCTCAAATATTGGATGAAGTCACCCCCTGTGAGTGGCTGGCTGAGGTGCCATCTGCTGAGGAAGTACTGATGGCGATCCGGAGTCTGAGACCAGGAAAGGCAGCGGGCAGAGATGATCTCCCAAGCGAAATGCTGAGGGAGGGTGGCGTTTGTGCACAGACTGCCCTATATGACATCATAACAACAGTCTGGACCACTGGACGGGTTCCGCAGGATTGGAAGGATTCCCTGGTGGTCCCCCTTTTTAAGAAGGGGGACCGCACAGACTGTAACAACTACAGGGGCATCTCACTCCTCAGTGTGCCGGGAAAGGTCCTGGCAAGGATTATTCAGCATCGCCTTGCCAGGCACGCTGAGGAGAGGCTTGCGGAGCCCCAATGCGGTTTCAGGAAAGGGCGGTCCTGCACAGATGCCATATTTTCTGTCCGTCTGCTACAGCAGAGGTGTAGGGAATTCCAACAAGACCTACATCTCTGCTTTATTGACCTGGTCAAGGCCTATGATACCATCAGTAGGCCTGGGCTCTGGGTCGTTCTTCGTGCTTTTGGAGTACCTGACCCTCTGCTCACGATCATTAAGGACCTTCATGATGGTGAGCGGGCCCGGGTAAAACTACGTGGCCGGGAGTCAGAGCCATTCCCTGTACACCTTGGGGTGCGACAGGGATGTCCTTTGGCTCCCACATTATTTAACATCTATTTTGACCACGTAGTTCGTGAAGCCTTCAATAGCTGTACCGGGGGAATCTCCATATGGTACAGATATAATGGGAGGCTAATCGATGCCCGGGTGCGGTCAAGGGATGGCTCCCTATTGCTCAACCACGTTATGTATGCTGATGACTTGGTAATAGCTGCTCAGTCAGAGGAGGAGTTGGAGACGCTGCTGCTGAGACTGGAGCGTGCCACTAAGAGGTGTGTGTGTACGTGCGTGCGCGTATGTGCGTGTGTGTACGTGTGTGTGTATACGTGCGTGTGCGTACGTGTGTGTGTACGTGCGTGTGCGTGCATGCGTAAGTGTACACGTGTGTGTGCGTATGCGTGTGTGTGCGTGTGTGTACCTGCGTGTGTGTGTGTGTACGTGCGTGTGTGTGCGTGTGTACATGCGTGTGTGTGCGTGTGTACATGCGTGTGTGTGCGTGTGTGTGTACATGCGTGTGTGTGCGTATGCGTGTGTGTGCGTGTGTGTACCTGCGTGTGTGTGTTTGTACGTGCGTGTGTGTGTGTACATGCGTGTGCGTGTGTACGTGCGTGTGTGTGTGTGCGTGTGTGCGCGTGTGTGTGTGCGTGTGTGCGTGTGTGTACGTACGTGCGTGTGTGTACCTGCGTGTGTGTGTACATGCGTGTGTGTGTGTACATGCGTGTGTGTGTGTGTGTACATGCGTGTGTGTACGTGCGTGTGATGGTGTACATGCGTGTGTGTGCGTGTGTGTGTGTGTGTACATGCGTGTGATGGTGTACGTGCGTGTGTGTACATGCGTGTGTGTGCGTGTGTGTACCTGCGTGCGTGCTCAAAGTTGCTCTCCACGAAGTTGTTGAAAGGGGTCATGTGTTCCTCCTTGGTGAAGAGCACGTGGTTCGCTATGCTCTGCAGGATCTGACACGCGCACACACGCACACAGACACAGGCAAAGGTACCCCGTGTAGCCTCTAACAGGGCTGTAGGGGCAAGTGCTGTTAGCTAGCACACACACAGACACAGGCAAAGGTGCCCCAGGTAGCCTCAAACAGGGCTGTAGGGGCAAGTGCTGTTAGCTAGCACACACGCACACACACAGGCAAAGGTGCCCCAGGTAGCCTCTAACAGGGCTGTAGGGGCAAGTGCTGTTAGCTAGCACACACACAGACACAGGCAAAGGTGCCCCAGGTAGCCTCTAGCAGGGCTGTAGGGGCAAGTGCTGTTAGCTATCACACACACAAACAGCTACAGGCAAAGGTGCCCCAGGTAGCCTCAAACAGGGCTGTAGGGGCAAGTGCTGTTAGCTAGCGCAGACACACACACACAGGCAAAGGTGCCCCAGGTAGCCTCTAACAGGGCTGTAGGGGCAAGTGCTGTTAGCTAGCACACACGCACACACACACAGGCAAAGGTGCCCCGTGTAGCCTCAACGGGAGCTGTAGGGGCAAGTGCTGTTAGCTAGCACACACAGACACACACAGGCAAAGGTACCCCGTGTAGCCTCTAACAGGGCTGTAGGGGCAAGTGCTGTTAGCTAGCACACACGCACACACACACAGACACACACAGGCAAAGGTACCCCGTGTAGCCTCTAACAGGGCTGTAGGGGCAAGTGCTGTTAGCTAGCACACAGACACACACAGACACACACAAAGGTAGCCCCGTGTAGTGGTGGTTGTAGTCGTGATAGTTGTGGTGGTGGTGGTGATTGTTGTGTCGATGATGATGGTGGTGGTTGTGGTGATGGCGGTGATGGCGGTGATGACGGTGGTAGCGATGGCGGTGATGACCGTGGTAGCGATGGCGATGATGGTGGTGGTGGTGGTGATGACAGTGGTAGTGGCGGTGATGACCGTGGTAGCGATGGCGATGATGGTGATGGTGGCGGTGGTGGTGGTGATGATGACAGTGGTAGCGATGGCGATGGTGGTGCTGGTGGTGGTAGTGACGGTGGTAGCGATGGCGATGGTGGTGGTGGTGGTGATGACGGTGGTGGTGGTGGTGACGACGGTGATGACCGTGGTAGCGATGGCGATGATGGTGGTGGTGGTGATGGTAGCGGCGGTGATGATGGTGGTAGCAATGGCGATGGTGGTGGTGGTGGTGGTAGCGGCGGTGATGACGGTGGTGGTGGTGACGGCGGTGATGATGGTGGTGGTGGTGGTGGTGACGGTGGTGGTGGCGATGATGGCGGTGATGATGGTGGTAGCGATGGCGATGATGGTGCTGGTGATGACGGCGGTGATGACGTTGATAGCGATGATGGTGGTTGTGTTGTTGTCGGTTGCGGCGGTGGTTGCGATGGGTTGCGTGGGTTGCGTGGGTTGCGATGGGTTGCGATGGGTTGCGATGGGTTGCGATGGGTTGCGATGGTTGCGATGGGTTGCGATGGGTTGCGATGGTTGCGATGGGTTGCGATGGGTTGCGATGGGTTGCGATGGGTTGCGATGGGTTGCGATGGGTTGTGCCGGTGTCCACCTTGGACATGAGTTTGAGTCCACGCTCGGCCCGGGGCGACGGCTTCTTGTCGAGGATCCCGGCCTCGTAGGGGCTCACAATGGCCGGGTTGATGAAGCGCAGGAACATGGCACTGCCCACGGCACCGATGCTGTTCTGTGGGAAACGCTGGGACACCACCTGCACCACAACCGCCACCAACACCACCACCGCCACAACCACAACCAACAACACCGCCACCAACACCACCACCAATACCGCCACCACCACAACCAACAATACCAACACCACCAACAATACCGCCACCACCACCACCAACAACACCGCCACCACCAACACCAACAACACCGCCACCACCAACACCAACAACACCGCCACCACCACAACCAACAACACCGCCACCACCACAACCAACAACACCGCCACCACCACCACCACCACAACCAACAACACCGCCACCACCACAACCGCCACCACCGCCACCACCGCCACAACCAACAACACCGCCACCACCACAACCAACAACACCGCCATAACCAACAACACCGCCACCACCACCACCAACAACACCGCCATAACCAACAACACCGCCACCACCACCACCAACAACACCGCCACCACCAACACCACCAACAACACCGCCACCACCACCACCAACAACACCGCCATAACCACCAACACCGCCACCACCACCACCAACAACACCGCCATAACCAACAACACCGCCACCACCACCACCAACAACACCGCCACCACCAACACCACCAACAACACCGCCACCACCACCACCAACAACACCGCCATAACCAACAACACCGCCACCACCACCACCAACAACACCGCCATAACCAACAACACCGCCACCACCACCACCAACAACACCGCCACCACCAACACCACCAACAACACCGCCACCACCACCACCAACAACACCGCCATAACCAACAACACCGCCACCACCACCACCAACAACACCGCCACCACCAACAACACCGCCACCACCACCACCAACAACACCGCCATAACCAACAACACCGCCACCACCACCACCAACAACACCGCCATAACCAACACCACCAACAACACCGCCACCACCACCACCAACAACACCGCCATAACCAACAACACCGCCACCACCACCACCAACAACACCGCCATAACCAACACCACCAACAACACCGCCACCACCACCACCAACAACACCGCCATAACCAACAACACCTCCACCACCACCACCACCAACACCGCCACCACCAACACCACCAACAACACCGCCACCACCACCACCAACAACACCGCCATAACCAACAACACCGCCACCACCACCACCAACAACACCGCCACCACCAACAACACCGCCACCACCACCACCAACAACACCGCCATAACCAACAACACCGCCACCACCACCACCAACAACACCGCCACCACCAACACCACCAACAACACCGCCACCACCACCACCAACAACACCGCCACAACCAACAACACCGCCACCACCACCACCAACAACACCGCCATAACCAACACCACCAACAACACCGCCACCACCACCACCAACAACACCGCCATAACCAACAACACCGCCACCACCACCACCAACAACACCGCCACCACCAACACCACCAACAACACCGCCACCACCACCACCAACAACACCGCCATAACCAACAACACCGCCACCACCACCACCAACAACACCGCCACCACCAACAACACCGCCACCACCACCACCAACAACACCGCCATAACCAACAACACCGCCACCACCACCACCAACAACACCGCCACCACCAACACCACCAACAACACCGCCACCACCACCACCAACAACACCGCCAGAACCAACAACACCGCCACCACCACCACCAACAACACCGCCATAACCAACACCACCAACAACACCGCCACCACCACCACCAACAACACCGCCATAACCAACAACACCGCCACCACCACCACCAACAACACCGCCACCACCAACACCACCAACAACACCGCCACCACCACCACCAACAACACCGCCACCACCAACACCACCAACAACACCGCCACCACCACCACCAACAACACCGCCATAACCAACAACACCGCCACCACCACCACCAACAACACCGCCATAACCAACAACACCGCCACCACCACCACCAACAACACCGCCATAACCAACACCACCAACAACACCGCCACCACCACCACCAACAACACCGCCATAACCAACAACACCGCCACCACCACCACCAACAACACCGCCACCACCAACACCACCAACAATACCGCCACCGTAAGCACAGCCAAACCACCGCCGCCATCATCATCACCAGCAGAGGCACCACCGACACACGCACACACACGCAGACACACACACAGACACACACAGCACACACACACAGCACACACAGTACACACAGCACACACACACACACACAGCACACACACACACACACAGCACACACACAGCACACAGCACACACACACAGACACACACACACACAGACACACACACAGACACACACACACACAGACACACACACACACAGACACACAGCACACACGCACACACGCACAGACACACACACAGACACAGACACACACACACGCAGACACACACACACAGACACACACACACACAGACACACGTACACAGACACACACACACGCAGACACACACACACAGACACACACACGTACACACAGACACACACAGATACACACACAGACACACACACAGACACACACACGTACACACAGACACACACAGACACACACACAGACACACACACAGACACACACACAGACACACAGACACACACACAGACACACACAGACACGTATACACACACTCGTTAGAACCGCGTCACCATGAGCAACGCTGCGGTGGTGGATGTTGTGGTTGTTGTGGTTGTGGTGTTTGTGTGGTGGTGGTTGTGGTGGTGGTTGTGGTGGATGTTGTGGTTATGGTTGTTGTGGTTGTGGTGGTGGTTGTGGTGGTGGTTGTGATTGTTGTGGTTGTTGTGGTTGTGGTGGTGGTTGTGGTGGTGGTTGTGATTGTTGTGGTTGTTGTGGTTGTGGTGTTTGTGTGGTGGTGGTTGTGGTGGTGGTTGTGGTGGATGTTGTGGTTGTTGTGGTTGTGGTGGATGTTGTGGTTGTGGTTGTTGTGGTGGTGGTTGTGGTGGATGTTGTGGTTGTTGTGGTTGTGGTGTTTGTGTGGTAGTGGTTGTGGTGGTGGTTGTGGTGGATGTTGTGGTTGTTGTGGTTGTGGTGATTGTGTGGTGGTGGTGGTGGTGGTGGTTGTGGCGGTGGTGGTTGTGGTGGTGGTGGTTGTGGTGGTGGTTGTGGTGGTTGTGGTGGTTATTGTTGTGGTGGTGGTTTTGGGTAATCCGAATTGTAAAAATGTTGCCATGGGTTTAACTAAACAACTACACCAACAGACAAAGCTCCCCCAGGTAGCCTCTAGCAGGGCTGTAGGGGCAAGTGCTGCTAGTAGCGAGTAGCAGCAGCAGCGTCTATGAAGGCTACCGGCACTGTGGCTACACACAGAGGGGGTGGCCACCAGCACCACCACGCCGGGCCGCCTTTGTCTCTCCCCCAGTGCTAGCGATGTTCACTACACCACCACCACCACTACACCACCACTACATCACCACCACTACACCACCACCACTACACCACCACCACTACACCACCAGCACTACATCACCACCACCACTACACCACCACCACTACTACACCACCACCAACACTACACCACCACTACACCACCACTACCACTACACCACCACTACCACTACCACCACCACTACACCACCACTACCACTACACACACCACTACACCACCACCACTACTACACCACCACCACTACACCACCACCACTACTACACCACCACCACTACACCACCACTACACCACCACTACCACCATTACACCACCACTACACCACCACTACTACACCACTACCACTACACCACCACTACACCACTACCACTACACACACCACTACACACAACACTACACCACCACCACTACTACACCACCACCACTACACCACCACCACCACTACACCACCACTACACCACCACCACTACACCACCACCACTACACCACCACCACTACACCACCACCACTACACCACCACTACACCACCACTAGTACACCACCACTACACCACCACCACAACACTACCACTACACCACCACCACTACATCACCACTACACCACCACCACTACTACGCCACCACCACTACTACACCACCACACCATCACTACACCACCACTACCACTACACCACCACTACACACACCACTACACACACCACTACACACACCACTACACCACCACCACTACTACACCACCACCACTACACCACCACCACTACACCACCACCACTACTACACCACCACTACTACACCACCACCACCACTACACCACCACTACCACCACTACACCACTACACACACCACTACACCACCACCACTACACCACCACTACACACAACACTACACCACCACTACTACACCACCACCGCTACACCACCACCACACCATCACTACACCACCACCACTACACCACCACCACTACACCACCACCACTACTACACCACCACCACTACACCACCACACCACCACCACTACACCACCACTACTACACCACCACCACTACACCACCACTACTACACCACCACAACACTACCACCACTACTACACCACCACTACACCACCACTACTACTACACTACCACTACACCACCACCACTACACCACCACTACACTACCACCACTACTACACCACCACTACACCACCACCACACCACCACCACTACTACACCACCACTACACCACCACCACTACTACACTACCACTACACCACCACCACTACACCACCACTACACTACCACCACTACTACACCACCACTACACCACCACCACTACTACACCACCACCACTACACCACCACAACACTTAGAGAGACCCTGAAGCAGTGGAGAGGCGTGGGTGGTGGGAGGAGAGGGGGGAGGGAGGGAGGAGAGGGGGGGAGGGAGGGGAGGGAGGGGAGGGAGGGAGGGAGGGGAAGGAGGGAGGGGAGGGAGGGAGGGAGGGGAGGGAGGGAGGGAGGGAGGGGGGTGATGATGGCGATGTCAGTGGTGGTGGTGGTGGAAGAGAAGAAGCGATGGGAGGAGGAGCAGGATGGTGAGGAATCAGCAGGCCTTCATGCAGCAGGCCCATCGATGGGAGCTACAGCATCACAGCTCACACCACCACCACTACCACCACCACCACAACAACCACAACAACAACCACAACAACAACCACAACAACAACAACCACCAACAACGTCGCATATCCAATGTCGCGTATCCTGACCCCAAACCCCACGTTTCGGATTGGCCGGTGGGTCGGATATGCGACGTTTCTGATTGGCCGGTGGGTCGGACAAGCGACGTTTGGGATTGGCCGGTGGGTCGGACAAGCGACGTTTGGGATTGGCCGGTGGGTCGGACAGGCGACGTTTCTGATTGGACGGTGGGTCGGACAAGCGACGTTTCGGATTGGACGGTGGGTCGGACAAGCGACGTTTCGGATTGGCCGGTGGGTCGGATACGCGACGTTTCTGATTGGCCGGTGGGTCGGATACGCGACGTTTCTGATTGGCCGGTGGGTCGGACAAGCGACGTTTCGGATTGGACGGTGGGTCAGACAAGCGACGTTTCGGATTGGACGGTGGGCCGGACAAGCGACGTTTCTGATTGGCCGGTGGGTCGGATACGCGACGTTTCGGATTGGCCGGTAGGTCGGATAAGCGACGTTTCGGATTGGCCGGTGGGTCGGATAAGCGACGTTTCGGATTGGCCGGTGGGTCGGACAAGCGATGTTCCGGATTGGCCGGTAGGTCGGACAAGCGACGTTTCTGATTGGCCGGTGAGTCGGACAAGCGACGTTTCGGATTGGCCGGTGGGTCGGACAAGCGATGTTCCGGATTGGCCGGTAGGTCGGACAAGCGACGTTTCTGATTGGCCGGTGAGTCGGACAAGCGACGTTTCTGATTGGCCGGTGGGTCGGACAAGCGACGTTGTACTGCACTGCGAGAGTGGCAGAGGGAGCGGAGGAGGTGGGGGGGGGGAGAGCAGAGGCTGATTTACTTGTGCTACGGCGTTAGGGAGAGAGAGAGATGGTGAGAGAGATGGTGAGAGAGAGAGATGGTGAGAGAGAGAGAGATGGTGAGAGAGAGAGAGATGGTGAGAGATGGTGAGAGAGAGAGATGGAGAGAGAGAGAGATGGTGAGAGAGATGGTGAGAGAGAGAGATGGTGAGAGAGAGAGAGATGGTGAGAGATGGTGAGAGAGAGAGATGGAGAGAGAGAGAGATGGTGAGAGAGATGGTGAGAGAGAGAGAGATGGTGAGAGATGGTGAGAGAGGTAGTGAGAGAGATGGTGAGAGAGATGGTGAGAGAGAGAGATGGTGAGAGAGAGATGGTGAGTGAGAGAGAGATGGTGAGAGAGAGAGAGATGGTGAGAGAGAGAGAGAGATGGTGAGAGATGGTGAGAGAGGTAGTGAGAGAGATGGTGAGAGAGAGAGAGAGAGATGGTGAGAGAGATGGTGAGAGAGAGAGATGGAGAGAGAGAGAGATGGTGAGAGAGATGGTGAGAGAGAGAGAGATGGTGAGAGATGGTGAGAGAGGTAGTGAGAGAGATGGTGAGAGAGAGAGAGAGATGGTGAGAGAGATGGTGAGAGAGAGAGATGGAGAGAGAGAGAGATGGTGAGAGAGATGGTGAGAGAGAGAGAGATGGTGAGAGATGGTGAGAGAGGTAGTGAGAGAGATGGTGAGAGAGAGAGAGAGAGATGGTGAGAGAGATGGTGAGAGAGAGAGATGGTGAGAGAGAGATGGTGAGAGAGAGACGGTGAGAGAGAGATGGTGAGAGAGAGATGGTGAGAGAGAGATGGTGAGAGAGAGATGGTGAGAGAGATGGTGAGAGAGAGAGTTGGCAAGCGAGAGATGAGAGGGGAGAGAGATGGTGAGAGAGAGAGATGGAGAGAGATGGTGAGAGAGGTAGTGAGAGAGATGGTGAGAGAGAGACACAGAGAGAGAGATGGTGAGAGAGATGGAGAGAGAGGTAGTGAGAGAGATGGTGAGAGAGAGACACAGAGAGAGAGATGGTGAGAGAGATGGTGAGAGAGTGAGTTGGCAAGCGAGAGATGAGAGGGGAGCGAGAGGTAACGCGCGAATTGAACGCCCGATTGAGAATGGTCGGCCTGGCACGGCAGCACACCTAGCCTGGCACGGCAGCACACCTAGCCTGGCACGGCAGCAGCACCTAGCCTGGCACGGCAGCTCACCTAGCCTGGCACGGCAGCAGCACCTAGCCTGGCACGGCAGCAGCACCTAGCCTGGCACGGCAGCACACCTAGCCTGGCACGGCAGCAGCACCTAGCCTGGCACGGCAGCAGCACCTAGCCTGGCACGGCAGCACACCTAGCCTGGCACGGCAGCACCTAGCCTGGCACGGCAGCACACCTAGCCTGGCACGGCAGCACCTAGCCTGGCACGGCAGCACACCTAGCCTGGCACGGCAGCACCTAGCCTGGCACGGCAGCACCTAGCCTGGCACGGCAGCACCTAGCCTGGCACGGCAGCACCTAGCCTGGCACGGCAGCAGCACCTAGCCTGGCACGGCAGCACACCTAGCCTGGCACGGCAGCAGCACCTAGCCTGGCACGGCAGCAGCACCTAGCCTGGCACGGCAGCACCTAGCCGGGCACGGCAGCAGCACCTAGCCTGGCACGGCAGCACCTAGCCTGGCACGGCAGCAGCACCTAGCCTGGCACGGCAGCACCTAGCCTGGCACGGCAGCAGCACCTAGCCTGGCACGGCAGCACACCTAGCCTGGCACGGCAGCAGCACCTAGCCTGGCACGGCAGCACACCTAGCCTGGCACGGCAGCACCTAGCCTGGCACGGCAGCAGCACCTAGCCTGGCACGGCAGCAGCACCTAGCCTGGCACGGCACCAGCTGGGTCTGTCCCAGAGACCTCATGCCAAGTGAGCGCTTCGACGCTTCAAGTGATAGCCGCCACTCGGTGGCCGAGGCATTCGCTATTGTTCGGTTAACCAGGTAGGGTTGTGGGGGGCTGTGGTGGGGGGCTGTGGTGGGGGGCTGTGGGGGTACGGGAGGGAGGAGTGGTGGGTGGGTGGGTGGGTGGTGGGTGAGGGTCGAGAGACACTTACGGATTTTCTTAAGCCGTCTCGGGATTCCTTACAACTGGACGACTTACTCAGACTGAAGCAAGTGGCCTACGGGGGACACGCGGGCAGACCACAGACACCACAGACACTACAGACACCACAGACACTACAGACACTACAGGCACCACAGACACTACAGACACCACAGGCACCACGGGCACCACAGGCACCACAGACACCACAGACACTACAGACACCACAGACACCACAGACACTACATACACTACAGACACCACAGGCACCACAGACACCACAGACACTACAGACACTACAGACACCACAGACACCACAGGCACCACAGACACCACAGACACCAAAGACACCACAGACACTACAGACACTACAGACACCACAGACACCACAGGCACCACAGACACCACAGACACCACAGACACCACAGGCACCACAGACACCACAGACACTACGGGCACCACGGGCACCACAGACACCACAGACACCACAGACACCACGGGCACCACAGACACCACAGGCACCACAGACACCACAGGCACCACGGGCACCACGGGCACCACGGGCACCACAGACACCACAGGCACCACAGACACTACAGACACCACAGACACCACAGACACCACAGGCACTACAGACACCACAGGCACCACAGACACCACAGACACCACAGACACTACAGACACCACAGGCACCACAGACACCACAGGCACCACAGACACCACAGGCACCACAGACACCACAGACACCACAGGCACCACAGACACCACAGACACCACAGACACCACAGACACTACAGACACCACAGGCACCACAGACACCACAGGCACCACAGGCACCACAGACACTACAGACACCACAGGCACTACAGACACCACAGACACCACAGGCACCACAGACACCACAGACACCACAGACACTACAGACACCACAGGCACCACAGACACTACAGACACCACAGGCACCACAGACACTACAGACACCACAGGCACCACAGGCACCACAGACACCACAGGCACCACAGACACCACAGACACCACAGACACCACAGACACCACGGGCACCACAGGCACTACAGACACCACGGGCACCACAGACACCACAGACACCACAGACACCACAGGCACCACAGGCACCACAGACACCACAGACACTACAGGCACCACAGGCACCACAGACACTACAGGCACCACAGGCACCACAGGCACCACAGACACCACAGACACCACAGGCACCACAGACACCACAGGCACCACAGACACCACAGACACCACAGACACCACAGGCACCACAGACACCACAGACACCACAGACACTACAGACACCACAGGCACCACAGGCACCACAGACACCACAGGCACTACAGGCACCACAGACACTACAGACACTACACACACCACAGACACCACAGACACCACAGACACCACAGGCACCACAGACACCACAGACACTACAGACACCACAGACACCACAGGCACCACAGACACCACAGACACCACAGGCACCACAGGCACCACAGGCACCACGGGCACCACGGGCACCACAGACACCACAGACACCACAGACACTACAGACACCACAGGCACCACAGACACCACAGACACCACAGACACCACAGGCACCACAGACACCACAGACACCACAGGCACCACAGACACCACAGACACCACAGGCACCACAGACACCACAGGCACCACAGACACCACAGACACCACAGGCACCACAGGCACCACAGGCACCACAGGCACCACAGGCACCACAGACACCACAGACACCACAGACACCACAGACACTACAGACACCACAGGCACCACAGACACCACAGACACCACAGACACCACAGGCACCACAGACACCACAGACACCACAGACACCACAGGCACCACAGGCACCACAGACACCACAGGCACCACAGACACCACAGGCACCACAGGCACCACAGACACCACAGGCACCACAGGCACCACAGACACCACAGACACCACAGGCACCACAGGCACCACAGACACCACAGACACCACAGACACCACAGACACCACAGGCACCACAGACACCACAGACACCACAGGCACCACAGACACCACAGACACCACAGACACCACAGACACCACAGGCACCACAGGCACCACAGACACCACAGGCACCACAGACACCACAGACACCACAGGCACCACAGGCACCACAGACACCACAGACACCACAGACACCACAGGCACCACAGACACCACAGGCACCACAGACACCACAGACACCACAGACACCACAGGCACCACAGACACTACAGACACCACAGGCACCACAGACACCACAGACACCACAGGCACCACAGACACCACAGACACCACAGACACCACAGGCACCACAGACACCACAGGCACCACAGACACCACAGACACCACAGACACCACAGGCACCACAGACACCACAGGCACCACAGACACCACAGGCACCACAGGCACCACAGGCACCACAGGCACCACAGACACCACAGGCACCACAGACACTACAGACACTACAGACACCACAGGCACCACAGACACTACAGACACCACAGGCACCACAGGCACCACAGACACCACAGGCACCACAGACACCACAGACACCACAGACACCACAGGCACCACAGACACCACAGGCACCACAGACACCACAGACACCACAGACACCACAGGCACCACAGACACTACAGACACCACAGGCACCACAGACACCACAGACACCACAGACACCACAGGCACCACAGACACCACAGGCACCACAGACACTACAGACACCACAGACACCACAGGCACCACAGACACCACAGACACCACAGACACCACAGGCACCACAGACACCACAGGCACCACAGACACTACAGACACCACAGACACCACAGACACTACAGACACCACAGACACCACAGGCACCACAGGCACCACAGACACCACAGGCACCACAGACACTACAGGCACCACAGACACTACAGACACCACAGACACTACAGACACCACAGGCACCACAGACACCACAGACACCACAGGCACCACAGACACCACAGGCACCACAGACACCACAGGCACCACAGACACTACAGACACCACAGACACCACAGACACTACAGACACCACAGGCACCACAGACACCACAGACACCACAGACACCACAGACACCACAGACACCACAGACACCACAGGCACCACAGACACCACAGACACCACAGACACCACAGACACCACAGGCACCACAGACACCACAGGCACCACAGACACCACAGGCACCACAGACACTACAGACACCACAGACACCACAGACACTACAGACACCACAGGCACCACAGACACCACAGACACCACAGACACCACAGACACCACAGACACCACAGGCACCACAGACACCACAGACACCACAGACACCACAGACACCACAGGCACCACAGACACCACAGGCACCACAGACACCACAGGCACCACAGACACTACAGACACCACAGACACCACAGACACTACAGACACCACAGGCACCACAGACACCACAGACACCACAGACACCACAGACACCACAGACACCACAGACACCACAGACACCACAGACACTACAGACACCACAGACACCACAGACACTACAGACACCACAGGCACCACAGACACCACAGACACCACAGACACCACAGACACCACAGACACCACAGACACCACACAGACCACCCTGACTGGCGTGAAATGCAAAGGCACAGGCAGCGGGCGGGAGGGTGGTACAGGTAGACAGTGGGGAGGGTTGTACAGGTAGACAGGTGGAGGGTGGTACAGGTAGACAGGGTGGTACAGGTAGACAGGGTGCTACAGGTAGACAGGGGGAGGGTGGTACAGGTAGACAGGGGGAGGGTGGTACAGGTAGACAGGGGGAGGGTGGTACAGGTAGACAGGGTGGTACAGGTAGACAGGGGGAGGGTGGTACAGGTAGACAGGGTGGTACAGGTAGACAGGGTGCTACAGGTAGACAGGGGGAGGGTTGTACAGGTAGACAGGGTTGTACAGGTAGACAGGGTGGTACAGGTAGACAGGGTGGTACAGGTAGACAGGGTGGTACAGGTAGACAGGGGGAGGGTGGTACAGGTAGACAGGGTGGTACAGGTAGACAGGTGGGAGGGTGGTACAGGTAGACAGGGTGGTACAGGTAGACAGGGTGGTACAGGTAGACAGGGGGAGGGTTGTACAGGTAGACAGGGGGAGGGTGGTACAGGTAGACACGGGGAGGGTGGTACAGGTAGACAGGGTGGTACAGGTAGACAGGGGGAGGGTGGTACAGGTAGACAGGGTGGTACAGGTAGACAGGGGGAGGGTTGTACAGGTAGACAGGGTGGTACAGGTAGACAGGGTGGTACAGGTAGACAGGGGGAGGGTGGTACAGGTAGACAGGGTGGTACAGGTAGACAGGGTTGTACAGGTAGACAGGGTGGTACAGGTAGACAGGGTTGTACAGGTAGACAGGGTGGTACAGGTAGACAGGGTGGTACAGGTAGACAGGGGGAGGGTGGTACAGGTAGACAGGGGGAGGGTTGTACAGGTAGACAGGGTGCTACAGGTAGACAGGGGGAGGGTTGTACAGGTAGACAGGGTTGTACAGGTAGACAGGGTTGTACAGGTAGACAGGGTTGTACAGGTAGACAGGGGGAGGGTGGTACAGGTAGACAGGGTGGTACAGGTAGACAGGGTGGTACAGGTAGACAGGGGGAGGGTTGTACAGGTAGACAGGGTGGTACAGGTAGACAGGGGGGAGGGTGGTACAGGTAGACAGGGTTGTACAGGTAGACAGGGTGGTACAGGTAGACAGGGGGGAGGGTGGTACAGGTAGACAGGTTTGTACAGGTAGACAGGGTGGTACAGGTAGACAGGGGGGAGGGTGGTACAGGTAGACAGGTTTGTACAGGTAGACAGGGTGGTACAGGTAGACAGGGGGGAGGGTGGTACAGGTAGACAGGGTGGTACAGGTAGACAGTGGGGAGGGTTGTACAGGTAGACAGGGGGGAGGGTTGTACAGGTAGACAGGGTGGTACAGGTAGACAGGGGAAGGGTTGTACAGGTAGACAGGGTTGTACA